CATTATCATCACCACTATCATCATCATCATCATCATCATCATCATCATCATCGTTTTCACCATGGCAATACACATAACCAGCATCACCACTACCACCGCAATCGTCATCAACAGCATCATCATAGTCAGCATCGCCATCATCACCATCATCATCACCACCACCACGACCAGCACCACCACCACCATCATCATCACTACCCCCACCATCATCATCAACATCGTCACCATCACCATCACCATCATCATCACCACCATCATCATCAGCATCATCATTCTCTTTCTCGTCGTCATCATCATCACCACCATCATCATAATCATAATCATGTGTTTAAAACGTGTCTCTATTTTCCGATGCCAGCATACTCTGTAACAAAGACAACGAACGATAAAGCATGCTATCGAACATGACCGGCGCTGCTCAAGCAGCCGCCTCCAAGCCCCTGTGAGCTAGGGGACATGCTTGCCAGCAAGAGGTTGGGCAAGGGAGGGCGGGGAGGGACAACCGTCTGAAAGTTTTGGGGTTTGGCCCAAAAGCGGCAGCGGAGCGGAGACACTCAAGGACACATTATCCAGCACGCAGGGCAATGTGTGTAAAACGTGTTTCTATTTTCCGATGCCAGAGTCAGTAACAAGGACAACGAACGATAAAGCATGCTATCGAACATGACCGGCGCTGCTCAAGCAGCCGCCTCCACGCCCCAAGCCCATATCTATATATATGAACCGGGAGGGAGGGTGGGCAACTTCAAAAACAAATGTTATGGAGTCACTCCTGAGGCGGCAGTTTACAACACGAATTTACGAACAGCGGAGAAGATGAGCCATTTTCTCACAGAACTCGACGGGATAGGCGGAAGCCTTTTCCGAAGAAACGTGCTGCTGGCATCTTTCCTTGCAGTCTTCGTATGAGGATGGCCAGTAAACGAACACACACCATGTCCGCGGCACTTGTCAGAGCTGATGGGGGTCGAGCACACAGTTAGCATACAACAAACGGGTACGTTTACGATGGCACGATTTGAATGCACAATGGTCCCAATCCACAACATTATATTGGGAAAAAAGATTCTGAAGCCGAGGATGGACCCACAACAAGGAGCCCTGAGGGTTATCGACGATGACGGGGGTCCCAAAAGCAGCCAACTGGAGGAAGAGACTAGCAGCCCATGTGGCCTGGCGGTTGCCCAACTGCACCTTACGCTGATCATTCTCCGACAGGTTTGGTAGTCCCAAGATGCAATCACGAGAGCGAATTGGGCCGGGCCAACCACCAGGGCGAGGATCCCGTCTGGCTCGAGACCACGACGAACAGACCAGGCCAATGCATACAAACTTAGCCCTCGCCTGGCAAGCCCAAGCAGGAGCCGAGAAACATGAGGATGCAGAGCGTCCTCTAGCTCTGAGTCGGCATACTCGAAAGAACGCATGGCCAGTCCAGCGCGGACACAGGCGGCTGAGAGTCTACGGCTGCCTGCCATTAGCTCGACCCCGATCTGATCGGCAAACTTTGTGACTCGAGGCCTCTGCAGCAACCCGCCTCGCGGGCCCCAGTCGTCGAGCGGCCCGAGCCTGGCTACCGCGCTGGCCAGGAGGCACGCGCGCGCCCGCCGAAGAGGTCCTGGAGCCTCGTCCACTGGACCTCGCCGTGAGCCCTGGCGGCGGGCGACAGCGCCGACAGCAGCTGCTGTGCCATGCCCGGCTTTGCATGCCGCTTCAAACTGCTGCCCTGGCTCCAGTGCCCCCTCGTCTTGACCTCGGCGAGCGCCCGATGCGCCGACAGCGCGTCCTCGCCCGCCTCGCCGCGCCGCAGCTGGCACAGGCGCACGTCTTGCAGCCCCTGCGCCTCGGTGACCCTCCGGAACAGGACGGCCTTCTCGACCCCCGTCGCGGCGAAGAGCAGCTCGCGGCCCTGGCGGCCACGAGCGTGCAGGGCAAGCAGGGGCCCCAGCCACAGCGGGTTGTCGAGCGGCACCGCCTCGTGGGATGTCCCCGTCTTTGTCGGGAACCGAGGCGGGTTCGCACCCTCCGCGGACGCGGCCAGAGGGCGCGCCGAGATCGGCGCCAGGAGGAGCGACCACGTCGCCATGGCCCCTCCGGCACGCGCTGGCTGAAGGAGGTCCCTGACCAGCGCCTTCCTCAGCGCGCCGGGGCGGGTGAACGCGCTGAACATCGTGAGCGCCTGGGGCGCGGCATCCCGCTCGCCCAGCGAGAGGGGCCCCGAGATCGCAGAGCCCACGACCTCGCGAGGCGCTGGGGCCCGCGACCGAGGAGGCACTCTCTTGGCGCACCCCTTCAGCGCCCGCTGCACACGGGGAAGGGTCTTCGGGCCCGTCGCCATCGGCAGCGCGTCCTTCGCGGAGGCGACGAGGTAGTCGGCGTCGCCCTTCGTGCAGCCCGCGTGCCGGAACGCGCCCAGCACCGACGGCGCCTGCACCTCGAGCTCGTCGAGCGTCTCCGCCGGCTGACCCGCGAACTCAACGAAGGCCTCGAAGTACTTCTGGTAGGGGGGCCCGGCCGAGGCACCCACTGCGGCCTGCTCGCACGTGGGCGGGCTCGCTGCCGTCACCTCCGCGGGGCCGCCGGCGCCGCCTGCAGCCGTGGGCGGAGCGCTCCCTCGCCGGCCGCGGCGGCTGGGCGCCGCAGCGGCGCCGCCGCGGCAGGCCTCGGCCGAGGGGCCGAGGCGCTGCAGCTGGGGCCGGGCGCGCGGCCGGCCGAGCCTTCACCACCGTGCGCCGAGCCGCTCGGACCCGCAAGGCGCGAGCGGGCACCTCCGCCAGGCAGGGCGCAGCCCCTCCAGCCACGCTGAGGGGGCCCAGCGTACGGCCCGCACGGTGGCTGCGCCCCGCGGCGGTCCCAGATCTGACCGGGGGCGTCTGCGGGGTTCAACTCGGAAGCAATCCAGCGAAAACGAGCCGAAATGCTACAGGCTATGGACAAGGCGGCCACACGTCGACAAATCTGCAGAAGACCATGTGATGTGGCCCTGCCTCTCCCCAGAGCCATCACGACCCCAAAGCTGCCAACTCAATGCAACCTCCTGGGGCCGCGTCGCTGGGGATCTCTGGCGTCGCGACGCGACGCCCAGACAACGGCGCGACCCTCCTCGACACCAATGCGCTCGGAATACTTGAGAGACGCAGCATATACAACGCGAAAACGGGCGTCCAGGATCTCGCGGGACACCTCGGGGAAACCAACAGCGCGCTTCCACCCTCGCTCCGAAGGGTTCCCCCAAGCAGTGTGAGGCAACGTGATCTCGTCGAGACCTTCGTGGGCTCAGGGCTCCAACCTGCGGCATCTCCACCTCTCCCTCCACCTCCCAGCCTGGGCAACAACTTCCCGCGGTACCGAGGCTTCGGCGACCCCCATCCCGGACGCGGGCGCATCAGTGGCAACCACCTCGCTGGCCCAGGGCAAAGACAGGGGAGACTGGACATGGATGCAGAGGACCGCCATCACCCAGCACTCACAGCGACAGCTTCTCCACAAGACCCTGGACTTGTCGTGGGACGACCTCGAAAACTCATATACTGCACGCATGAACTCGAATCCAGGGCGACAGAAGAGGCAGGCGGCAACATAGTGTCCCAAGATCACCTCTAGCTGACGACCACTGACATAGGGCCCCGACGCGAGCCAGAACAGAGCTTTTCTCACGACAAATAACTTCTTGAGGGGCCGACGAGTACTAGGGTCCAGTCCTCCGACATCAGCTCCGAGAGCGACGCCCTCCGACGACGCCTCTGCGATATCGCGCATGGCGAAACCCTCGGCCTCGAACTGGGCGACGATGCGGCCCCGGGTCTCCCGGGCGGATCCAGGATCCAACCAAACGCGTTAACGTTGTCCGAGTCGGGGACCTCGATCGGGCCCTTGACGACCGACGGGAGAGGCCAAGACCCAGTAGCAACCATGGCCGAGGGAACCCCAGACCTGCGGACAACTTCGAGGTGTAAACGTTGAACGAACCTGAACGCCCAAGACCAGCCCATCGGCGATACCTGCGTCGCCGGGTAGACGAAGTCGCTCGAGTCATTCAGATCCTTCACCGGGATGCCCGCGCGGAGAGCCTCGGCTCGGCTGACCTTCGGGAGGCAGAAGTACTGACGCAGATCACCGATGTCACCACACTGATAGAAGGCGCACTGGATATCCGCACATGCACTGTACAACTGCCTGCCCTCAGGTACCTCTAACGCGCTGAGGCTCTCCGCCGCAGCTATCTCGGTGAAAGGAGAGCGTTTCGAATGCTGGTTTGCCTCGCGACAATCAAGCACGAGTCTGATCTTATCGGTTTTCCTAGCTACAAAAAACGGGGTGACAGACGCCTTCCAAGTCGAGGTGGCGGTAAGCACATTACAGCTTGCGAGCTGCCCCAAAAAACGCACATACTGGGATCGGTCTTTTTTCAGCACCTCATCCATTTAGGGGCGGACCGGGCCCCCCTCCCGGCGAGCCTGTCTGACCTCGGGCTCTGCCAGGAGCTCTTGAAAGTGCGACAACGTGCGCGCGGCGTCCGAGTCAAGGGCGCCTCGAAGACTGACGGGCTGGCGTCCTGCAGGGGGCAGCGAGAGGGCGTCGGCGCAATGCGGAACAACCGAAGTGACCGAGACCTGGCAGTCAAAGCGCGATCCCAGAAGCTCACTAGCAGCTGCGCGGGGACTCATATTCAATATGTCGGGAAAAGCTTGCCGAACAGTGCGAGCAGCACGGGGCAGCCTCCGCTGCGTCATTCTCTGCGCCTCGGTGGGCGCACTGACCGAGGAGCGCTCGCAGCCATGCAAAGCATTGAGGCCCGTCAGCGAGTCATTCACATCACTCAACACGTCCCGACGGATGCATCTCCGGCGCTGCCCAGAGCGGGCACGGCCAGCGCCAGCAAAATCGGCCTCCTGCTTGCCGAGCTTGCAGCGGGAGGGGGAAGAGGTCGCTCAAGCAGCCTGGCGGTCTCACAAGTCCCGGCGGAGGCCTGAAACCGGGCGGCTGGGCGTCCGGCCAGACCCACGTTGGAGCCGATTCCTCTCTAAAAACTTGCTGGTCTTTCCTAGCCGCAGCGGCTCCGCCAGCTGAGGAGCCGCTGTGGCTCAAGTCGGTCACTCTTTAGTGCCACCCTTCGGGGGTGGCTTCCGTGCTTCACGCGCCTTCCGTCTCTCCTTCTCAATGGCAGCATCCTTCGCGAACTCGCCCGCGACATGCGAGCGCAAGCTCGGGGCGACCAGCGTGCCCGACCCTGTGTCATCCTCACCCGAGAAGTAGTGGGCCCCTTCGAAGTTCGGCTTGTCCGGGTCGGACTTGTGCGCCTCCTCAAGGAGCTGGCGCCGCCGGTTGAGGTACTCCATGCTGGTCAGATTCGCCGAGTTGACCCCGTCCACGGCGTGCGCCAGCTCGAGCGCCTTCGAGTCACCCTGTGCTCGTGAGCCGAACGGCTGGACGCCGGCACGCCGCTCTCCACCAGCCAGCGCTCGTGCGAGGCCATGAAGCCGCCTGGGCTCCGAGCCTGCAGCGCTGACACCGTGTCGCCCATGCTGGGCGGCCCCTTCAGGCGGATCTCCACGCGAGAATCCTTGCGCAGCAGCAGGGCGTCGCTGGTGAAGGGGACGGGCTCAGCAGGCTGTCGGCGCGGCAGGGGGCGGGGCTCGCCCCGCATCAGGAAGAGCTGCCGCTCCGCACCCCCACACATCCAAGTCCACGTCGGCGGCGACGAAGGAGCCAGTCGTGATGTCACTCCCGACGGTCACGAACACCCGGCCGCCGAAGTCCAGCGCACCAGCGGGATATATGAACTCTTGCCCGACCGCGCGAGTGGCCCCAGGCACGTCGAAGACCCAGCATCCCCCGGCTGGCGCCAGCCTCGGGGCGGGCGGCGGCGGCGGCAAGGCCCCTGGCGCGGCCGGCGGCGGCACCACTGGCAAGGGCGCAGGGGCCGCGACCGGGGCGACGCCCCCAGAGCCGCCCGCCGAGCCCGCGCCCGGGGGCTGAGCCAGGCCCCTCGCCTGGCGCTTCACGCGAGCGTGAGAGGCCCCCTCGGCGAGCAGGGCCGCGAGGTCAGCGCCGGCGGGCTGGGCCGCGAACCTGCGGAGCCTCGCGCCCGCAAGCCCTGCGGGGAGGCCTCTCGTCACGGGCGAGAACCGCACACCCGAGAGGTCGCGGCTGGCCGAGTCGAGCTGCTCGATGAAGACGTCCCCATCGGGAGTCATCACAACGTACTCCGCGCCCGAGATCCAGCCCATGATCAGACGTTCATGCCAGAGCCAATTGTCGGCTGGATCATCATACTGGACGAAAGCGAACGCTCCAGGCGGGAGCGTCGCCATGGCGCTGCCCCGGCGGGCGAGCGCCTCAGCCCAGCGTCAGCACGCCCGCGCCGCGCGCCGCGCGCCCGCGGAGACCGCCCGGCGCAAGGGAAGCGCCGGGCGACGGCGGGGCCGGGGCCTGCGGGGCCGCGCCCGCGGCGGGCAGGGCCTGGGGCGCGTCCCCAAGCTCGAGCGCCGAGCCCTGCGAGGGGACCCGCGCTGCCCGGGCCGACGCGCCCGCCCGGCCGCCGCAGCGCCTGACGCAGAGGCCGAGCAGCGCGGTGGAGGCCACCCCCGCGACGAAGCCGCCCAGCCCCGTTGGCCAGTGCGGCGGGCAAGGAGTCGGCGCCGCCCCGTCGGCCAGTGCGGCGGGCAAGGAGTCGGCGCCGGCCACGACGGGCAGGTCGGACACTTCGGGCAAAGGTGCTCTGGGCCGCACCGATCCAGCTGCCTCTCCAGCAGCTTCAAGGCCCCCTCGTCCGAGTTGAACTGACAGGCGCAGCTGCACTCGCACAAGCACGGTCGGACCACACCGCCCAGCCAGCTCCCAGCAAACGACGCGGAGGTGACTTGGGCGAGCGGGCCGAACATTACACAGCCGTCTGAAAGATTTGGGGTTGGGCCCAAAAACGGCAGCGGAACGGAGACACTCAAGAACACATTATCCAGCACGCAGGGCCATCAGCAGTATCATCAACATCAGCATCAGCATCAGCATCAGCATCACCATCAGCATTACCATCATCATCATCATCATCATCATCATCATCATCATCATCATCATCATCATCATCATCATCATCCCCACCATGACAACAAGTATAACATCAGCATCACCATCATTAGCACCACCACCACAAGCGTCACCACAACCACCACCATCACAACCACCACCATCATCAGCAGCATCAGCACCATCATCACCATCACCATCACCATCATCATCGCCACCATCAACATCATCACCACCATCACCAGCATCATCATCCGCTTTCACGTCGTCATCGTCATCAGCATCCTCATCTCCAGCATCAGCATCAGCATCAGCAGTATCATCATCAAGAGGATCATCAGCATCATCATCACCATCATAGTCATCATTAGCATCAGCATCATCTTCAGCAGCATCATCGTAATCAGCATCATCATCGTCATCATCATCATCATCATCATCGTGACTTTCCGTCGGGATCGTAATCGTCACCGCCATCAGGTAGGAGGATGAGGATGGGGGGAGGAGGAGGATCGGAGGAGGAGGGAGGAGGAGGGAGAAGGGGGAGGAAAACGTTGGTAGAAGTGTGAGGTAGGAAGGCGTTAGAAGTAGATTGGATCTCCATTCGCCCCCCTGAAGACGAAGACTGACGGAAACACGCTCGATCTTTGAAATAGGAAGGCGCCTAAAGTAGATGCGGATTTGGGAATCGTGCACTTGGTTCAATTTGAACGCGAACCTGGATTCACAAGAGCGAATCCGACAGAAGTTCAAAAAGGCTCTTTGCCAATTGCAAGAAGGATTCACCCCATGCCCGCGAGAATAACCCCATGGGGGGAATTAGTAAAGTTCGGGGTCCTGGTCGGATAATCAATTCTTCCCGCAAATACCCATGTTGGGATGTCTCGATCGGTGTTGACTGACCTCCAAGGTGATGAACGCGAACTTGGCCAAACCTCGAACATACGCGTTTCGCCCGAGACCTCCCCACAACATTGAGACATGAACCGTTAGGCGAAAGATAACGAGGATTGCCCATGGTGCTATGCATGACATGAAGATCAGGGCTATGATTGGAAATGCGCCTGCGGATATGAGGGATCGGGCTCCCCGCCTCCCCGCCTCTTGTGCCACATACAGGCCGCAAAGAACAAACACAGACAACCCCAGGGGGAGGGACTCGTTATTATCACGGAGGCGGTGCTACACCCTGCGAAATGCTTAAGAAATCATGGGTTAAGAAATTCATAGTCTCAGAAATTGAATAAAACCCAGAACTTCTATCAAAATCTTGGGATTTACATTGAAAAGTTAAGAAGAATCGAGACTCTGGCCGAAAGCTTAAGTTTTCTTGAGCATCGCCTGAGGTGTATCTTTACCACCCTGCGAGCCCGAAGCTCCTGCAGTCTACGAAGGCTTGTGGCTTCGGGCGCGCGAGCCTGGCCCTCGGGAGCGCGAACCATTTGCAAACTCGAGATCGCTGATGGGCCTCTTTTCCACCATCACCACCATAAGTTGGAGGAGGAAGGGGTCCTCCTCCTCCTCCTCCTCCACCTCCTCCTCCTCCTCCTCCTCCTCCCCCCCTCCAGCTTATGGTGGTGGTGGTGGAAAACAGGCCCATCAATCGCAGATCTGGCTTAGTTTACAAAAGGGTTCTGGCTTCGGGAGCGCGAGTACATTCTAATTTGCAGTAGGACGTGAGGGAGCGAGAGCGAGAGCGAGAGAGGGAGAGAGAGAGAGAGATCCTGCACGACCCTGCAGGATTCCGGCGAAAACCGGGAGACTCTGGGAGGATCGACTGCAAACCCGCTGCGATCCCAAGTGGTTTCAAGGGCGATCCTTGGATCGCTCTTCGCATCCCTGGGAGTCGATCCCCAGTGACTCCAAACGTGATCCTGGGATCGCGTTTCGCATCCTAGGGATGCGAGTCGCAAGGATTCCAGAGGTGATCCCCGGGGGCGCGTGGCGGGCCAGATTCCTCAAGCTTCGGGCAACAACGTAGTGGGCGATGCTCATGATGACGAGCACGTGAATGAAGATTGTGTCCATGATGATGACGAATAGCAGGCGGGTAAGGAGGGGGGGAAACGGGCACGCCAGAGCAGCGAGAGGGGGGGAGCGGTTGGAAGGACACGTGCTGCCTGCCCTCTGGGGTGACAGTTGCCCAAGACCGTCTCCCGCGCTCCCCCGCGCAGGCTTGGAGCCTCAAGGGGGGGACATCTCCAATCCCCTGCCTGTCTTTCCCGCTTGGAGAATCGGCTGAGATTAATTAGGCTCGGGAAGTTCCTTTGTTGCCTCCAGAGCTCAAAGATCTACGGTCAGGTAACTTCTGGATAGCGTGTCGCCACAGCGGCCCAAGCGACACGCTGTCCCCTGCGAGCGGATAGCGTGTCGCTCCGCTCCGCGGGGCGGGAGGCTCGGAGAGGCTCGGGACGTTCACGCCTGGGGGACCGGAAGTGGATACAGTTGGGGCGTCGACCTAAGGAACGATCAATAAGGAACGATGCCCCTTCCTTCCACGAGTGAAAATTCGATGTCCCGTCGAGGACCCAAGGAAACCCGAATGCAAGCTGTGAAACAAGCCAGGGAACACGGAGCCCCTCCCCAACGAGAAGGGTCCCTTCAGCGCCCCGACTGCAGCGTGTCGCTCGAGAGTGCGGTGGGCCAGAACTGGCGGAGCGACCCGCTCTCCAAAAGTGCCCGACCTGGCTCGGCGGGGCTTCTCCTGGGCGGTCGGGCTCGGCTCTGAAGGCCTGCAGGCGGAGGCCTGCCAGCGCTCGGACGTCCACTCCGAGTGTTCTCTGGTCGGCTTCGTGCGTGTGCTGCTTCGCAGGATGCTCCAGGACGCTCCTCGATGGTCCTCGCCGAGAACGAAAACCCACACGTCCAAGCGATGACAGGAAGGAGGGCGGAGCAGGGAGACGGCAGTTCGAGCGGCGGGGCCTGCTCCGGCGGCTCTGCGACCAGGCTCTCCGAGTCCGCCACCGGGTCCTTCGCCGGCACCGACGGCGCCCCAGCCATCGAGGCACTGTCACCAGCGATGAGGGAGCAGTCGCTGTCCTTTGCTGCGAGGGAGGGGGCACACTCGAGAGATCAGACAGGGGAAAGATCCTCCCCTCGTCCTATCAATACAAACGTATGTATGTATGTATGTATGTATGTATGTATGTATGTATGTATGTATGTATTTATGTATGTATGCATGCATGCATGCATGCATGCATGCATGCATGTATGTATGTTTGTATGTATGTATGTTTGTATGTATGTATGTATGTATGTATGCATATCCATGTATATATGTATTATCCAGACGTACCGGAAGGGCATGCCGGGAGTTTCGCCTGAGACTTCCATATCACGTATGACCCTGTGAAGCCTCAAGTCTGCAGCAGTTTCACGGATGGAGGGCGGGTCCTTCTAAAAGCGTGGATCTCGCCTCAGCGCCGAGCGCTCTCGCCTTAAAAAACATGTGCAGCAGCTTCTCACATGAGCGGCGATCTAAAGCGGGTCTTACGCGAGATGGCACAGCGAACTTACGCGGCGGTTTACGCGGGCCGCCAGTGCAGCACACCACATTTGAAGCGAGGGCGCTGACGCGCGACCTTGCGCGGGAACCTACGCGCCGCTTCTCTGGAGGGCGGGTGGTGTTCCAAGTGTGGCTGTCGCCTCGGCGCCGCGCAGGTTCGTGTGTGAAATGTTGCAGCAGCTTCACGCGTGGGAGGATAGGAGGTGCTGGAGGGTTGCGGAGGAGCACGTAGAAGGCGCTTCGGGCGTTGGTGGGGGGAGGCAACGCGAGGGTGAAGACGCGCGCGCGCCTTTCCAGTACTTTGTGGGCCCGCGGTGTCGGCTTAGAGGCTGCTTGGCTGCTGGGCGCCACCTCCCTGCAATCCTCGCCCCCCCCCCCCCGCTGCGCACCTCTCCCCCCCCGCGCGACCGAGCGCCCGAGCGGAGGCGGAGGAGATCAGCTTCCTCGGGGGCGTCCAGTCGCCCCCAGGGCCGATGCGGCAGCGGTGCAGGAGGTGCACACGTGTCGTGCTGTTGGAAGTGTGGCTAGAGGAGAGGCAAACAACATCAACATCTGCTTTCGACGGTCCGCGTGTATTTCTTGGATCGGCGCTGGACGCCCCTCCTCTGGCACACGGGGGGCAGCGCCGGAGGCGCCGCCCCGGGGTCATCCCAAGCCGATCCAAGGAGTCCGCCCAGAGCTCTGGAAGTTTCTGATCATGCCATTGCTCGTTCCTCGAGTGGCGACGTGGGACGCGATTGCACGAGCCATGCCGCTGCTGCGCCCCGAAGTCGACATGGCAGGATTTCCCCTAGAAAACTTGACGGCTTTTCTGGACCACTGTTGGGGGATCAGGCTGGTCAGGCTTTGGAGTTCGAGGCAGCCCCCCCAGACAGTCTCGGCTGCCCTCAACGGGCCCCCCGAGCAAACTGACCTCAACAAGCCCCCCGAGTCTCGAGCGGGGCGCTCCACTGGCGCCGCCGGAGGCGGCGCCAGAGTGTTGAGACCGCCCTGGACCACTCGGAGGGCCTGCTGAGGCCAGCCAGGACTGCTCGGAGCCTGCCGAGGCCAGCCGGGACTGCCTTGGGGACTGCCTTGGGAACTGTGTGTCCGCAACGCCGAAGCCTGGCAAGATCAGGCCAGACACATCGAGGTGAACTGAGGTAAATCAGGACAAATGGAAGTGAACCCGAAGACCTCCAAAAAGGAGTCTGAAGCAAATCGTGCACGGCCCAGAGCGAGTCGAGGGACAGCAGAAATCGTTGGGTGCGTCACGATGCTCTCGTCTGCGCTTCAGTATGCCCCCCCCGGCGTCCTGGTCCGTGTACGCGCGAGTCGTGCTCACGACGGAGGTACCGGAGGAGGAAGGGGAGGGAGGGAGGAAGGATGAGAGGCGAGAGGAGGGGAACAGAGGAAAGGATGAGGAACGAGGAAGTGAGGAAGGTACGAAGGTGGGGAAAAGGAGGACGAGGAAGAGAGAGGACGAGGGCAAGGATGAGGGAGAGGAGGAGGAGGAGGAGGAGAAGGAGGAAGAGGAGGAGGAAGAGGCGGATGATGATGATGAGGAGGAGGAGGAAGAAGAGGCGGAGGGAGGAGGAAGGAGGAGGAGGAAGAAGAGGAGGAGGAGGAGGGCGAGGAGGAGGATAGGCAGGAAGTTGAGGCCCACACCAAGACCTCACTCTCTCCGCCGATTCGGGGGCGTGCCCCGAGGATCTCGCGGGGTGCTCGCTGTGGACGCCTCCCGCCCTCGGGGGTAGGGGAGGCAGCTCCGTCCAGTGCTGACCGAGCTCCTCGGAGTGCACGTCTCCAAAGTGGTGGGCATGGGCAGAGAAGGAGGGACGAGGGGGAGGGGGGACCAGGAGGGACGGGGGGGGGGCGCGAGGGACCAAATGGGGAGGGGCCTGCGCAGGGGGAGGGGCCAAGAGGGTGGAAGGAGGGGCGAGGGGGGAGGAGATGAGACTGAGGAGGGGAGGTATCAGCAGCAGGGGGAGACAGTACAAGCAGGAGGAGGCAGAAGGATGGAAGGAGGGGGCGAGGGAGGAGGTGGAGGAGGAGGAGGAGGAGGAGGAAGAAGAGGAGGTCCAAGCGGGAGAGAGGCGGAGGAGGCGGAGGAGGATTGCCGGTCAGAGCTCTGCTGCTGTCCCGCCCCGCGGAGATCCCCGAGACGCACCCGAACTCGCCTCCGGCCGCCCTGCCGCCGCTGTCGCCGACCTCGCAGATGCCGATGAGGTGCTCCACCTTCGGCCGGGTGGCCAGCACGAAGCCAGAGGGTCCCCTCCACCTCTTTCCCTCCGCCTCCGCCTCCGCCTCCCCCTCCCCCTCCACCCCTCTCCTCCTCCTCCTCATCCCCCTCCTGCTCTTCCTCCTCCTCCTCCTCCTCCACCCCTCCCCTCCTCTCTCCCTCCGCCTCCTCCTCCTCCTGTCGTGGATCGAGAGCTCCGCGCGGAATTCTGGGATCGGCGCTGGGCCCCCGCCTGGCGGGAGCATGGTCCCGGCATGGCCCGGGCATGGCCCCGGCGCAGCCCCGGCACAGCCACGGCATGGCCACGGCATGGCCACGGCATGGCCACTGCATGGCCACGGAATGGCAAAAGCATGGCCACGGCATGGCCACAGCACGGCCACGGCATGGCCACGGCACGGCCACGGCACGACACAGCTACGGCATGGCCACGGCACGGCCAAGGCACGGCCACGGCACGGTCACGGCACGGCCACGGCATGGCAACGGCATGGCAAACGCATGGCAATGGCATGGCCACGGCATGGCAAACGCATGGCCACGGAATGGCAAAAGCATGGCCACGGCATCGCCACGGCACGGCCACGGCATGGCGACGGCACGGCCACGGCACGACACGGCTACGGCATGGCCACGGCACGGCCAAGGCAAAGCCACGGCACGGCCACGGCACGGCCACGGCATGGCAACGGCATGGCAAACGCATGGCAATGGCATGGCAACGGCATGGCAACGGCATGGCCACGGCATGGCCACGGCATGGCCGCGGCATGGCCACGGCACGGCCACGCCATGGCACTGGCATGGCCACTGCATGGTCACGGCATGTGGCCACGGCATGGCCACGGCATGGCCACGGCATAGCCACGGCATGGCCACGGCATAACAACGGCATAACAACGGCACGGCAACGGCACGGCAACGGCATAACAACGGCATAACAACGGCACGGCAACGGCACGACATCGGCACGGCAACGGCATGCTCACGGCATGGCAACGGCATGGCAACGGCATGGCAACGGCATGGCCACGGCATGGCCACGGCATGGCCGCGGCATGGCCACGGCACGGCCACGCCATGGCACTGGCATGGCCACTGCATGGTCACGGCATGTGGCCACGGCATTGCCACGGCATGGCAACAGCATGCCCACGGCATGGCAATGGCCTGGCAACAGCATGGCAACGGCATGGCAACAGCATGGCGACATCATTGCAACGGCATGGCAACGGCGCGGCAATGACATGGCAACAGCACGGCAACAGCATGGCAGAAACAGAACAACAGCACGGAGACAGCATGACAACGGCATGGCACTGGCATCACAACAGCATGGCAGCATCACGGTATACGTATGTTAACGGCATGACAACAGCATGACAAGAGCATGGCAACAGCATGGCCATGGCATGGCAACAGCATGGCAACGGCGTGGCGAGGCATGGCAACAGCATGGCAACTGCATGCCAACAGCATGGCAACAGCACTTCCCCCCACTTCTCTGATCAGGGCAACTCATCTGGGCATCGTAGCTGGATGGGCTGGCGCGGGGACACGCGAAGCGTCAATCATATGGCACGAGCATGGCCCTGGTACGACTCTAGCGCGCCCATGGCATCACAATAAACATCACAACAAAACAAGAAAAGACGAACAAACGGAAAGCCACACCAGAAGTCAGCCTGTGCTCTTTCTAGATTCTAGACGCTACCAGGGGGAACCTCCAAACACATCAAAAGACTGGAAAACCTGGACCGAGGCCGCTGCCGAAAAATCTACGCCCATCAAGGACCACAGGCCGCGTGAACAAAATCATCGGTTCGACCCCCATGCCCCTTGAAGTCCTCCTGTTTCGTCACGCAACGGGGCTGTGCAAAAGTCGTGGACGGGCGCCTCTGTCATGATCGCATGACACCACCAAACGTGAAACACCTGCCCCCAGCATGTTCTCGTTTGCGGCATCGCGTCGATGCCGATTGAGCGCGAGAGCTGGCAGCACCAGCTCTCGAAACCAAACCGTTAATCGTTGCGCCTTGGATGCAAAATTGCGGGCGCGCGGGTAACGCACCGCGCGCCCGCGCAACGGCGAACTCGAGCGACAACGGCACTCGCTCGCCCGACCGCAACGTTCTGAAGCACGCGCCGAACGCGCAATCGATCGCCGCATTTTTCGCAAAGCGCGGGCCTGGCGCGGGCCAAACTTGCATCGCGGGCAAGAGGCGGGGGCCAGTGGGAGGGGGGCAACTGGGAGACGCGGGAGGAACGCCAACACAAGAAGATCTGAAGACGCGGGGTGGGAAGCCCTCCCCACCTCGTCCTCTCGCGCCACCCCGTGCCAAGCGAGCCTGCCCCTGCCCTCTTCGCGTTGTTCTGGGCGCGAGAGAGAACCCGACGTCGCGGCCTCGCAGAGAGAATCCCCGCGGCCCTCTGCGCTGCAGACAACCTCGAGTTGCGCCCTGAACGCCACTTTGCCTTCCTGGGGCCCCTCACGGGGAAGGTGAACAACACCTCCCCGCCCCGTAAATCGCGCCCACGGCCACCGAATCCGCGGGTGTCCAAGGGTTCTGGCTTCGCGCTTCGGCTATTTGACGGAAGGCGCCGCTCGGCGCCGCCGCGCGCGCGGCGGCGCGCGCGCGTGCCGGCCTTGCGCGACGGGCGCGCATATGGTGGACCGTACAACACCGCGCGCTAAACTGCATTTCGGCGCCCCCGGCCACGGTGGCGACTTCTGCGCCTCGCCGCGATGGAGCGCCCACCGCGCCGAAGCGGGCGCGCCGCGGTTGACACGCGCCGTGCGCGCGCGCGCGCCGGCCGCCCGAAATCCGATCGGTGACCGATGCGGGATCGCTCCGGTTCCCACGGGGCTGTGGCGACGTCCGTAAAGCGGGGACGACGATCCGCGCGGGGCTCCCCCGCGAAGGCGCGCCGCCGCGGGGGGCGGCGGCGGCGCGCGCGCTGCGACGGCTTCGCAGCGCTGGGCATGCACGGCGCGCACGCAACACAAGTCGTTGTTGGCCGCGCCAGCGCAGCGACTTGTGCGCGCCCAGAGCGCAGAACGCGCCGCGCAGCCCCGCGCACGCGCGCCGCGGGTGACGCGCGTCGCCCGCGCGCGCGGGGGCCACTTGGTTCCCAGAGCAGCATGGCGACTTTCTGCATGCGCGAACGCTGGGCCTCCCCCGCGCAAGCCCCTCCATGCAAGCGCCCCGCCGCGCGCGCGGCAATGCCCGCGCGACGATCGTACGCGTTGGGTATACACGACAAGCACGCGAAAATTACACATCGAACTCCGAGCTTGTTTTCTCCCAGCCGGATGAAAATTGCATGGCCCAGCCCAAACTGGCGACTTCAACAAAAATCACGCGTCAAACCCCTCCGGGCAAGTGCGCGTGCGCGCCGCGGGGACGCGCGTCGCCCGCGGGCGCGGGTCACCCGGAATCCGCTCGGTGATCGCTAAAAGCGTATTTTCAGCTTCAGATCACTATTGCCCCCTTCTTTCGTGCGAAGATAGTGGTCCCTCCATGCAGCGCCACCCGCGCAAGCGTGCCGCCGCGGGCGCCGAGGGCGACGGAAGTCGGCCCCGGCGCCGCTCGTGGGCACTCGCGAACTCGCGCCCGACCTCCCAGGAGCAGCGGCGAAGCCGATTTCGGCGCCGAGGCGGCGGCCCCCAGTCTGAATTCGAGGAAAGGCCAGCCTGAAATTCAGACAGGGCCAATCTGAATTTCAGAGAGGGGCCGCTCTGATTTTCAGAAAGGGGCCAATCTGCATTTGTTTTCTGGCGTGGAGAGACTCAGGCAAACCCAAGTCGTGCAATCACCCGTGCAAGCCCAGTTTGCACTTCAGGAAAGGCCCATCTGGAATTCAGACGCGGGGACCGCCGCCCCAACGCAGGTCCGCCAGCGCCGGCGCCCCGGAGACCTTCGGCGCCACCCGGAAGGCCCGACCATCTCGCGAAGGGGCAGCACCCCCGAGCCTACCTGGGACGCCCTGGCGCCTGCGGGGCCTCCCTGGGCACCGCAGTCCGAGATCCTGGGCCCCTGGAGCCTGGAACCCCCGTCGCTGCTTTGCATTTGGATTGGACTCCCATTGAGCACTGGGTTCGAAACTAACACTTTTGGTCTGCGGGGCGAGAGCGAACCTCTTCCGGTACAGCTCTAATCGGGGAGACAAGGCACAAGCGGGCGGGGCCTCAGGCGGCCGGACAAGGTTCGAAGCTAACACGCAGGGGCTAGATTTGATCGCCAACTCGAGGGCCAGCGGGCGCACACACTGCGCCAACGCCCCCGGTCTGGAATACACAGCACATTCCCTGCAAAGCGTTATCCTAAGCACGGGCGAACAACGGAGGTCGCATGTGGAACACATGTTTCTTCTCACCTACAGTCGGGGTGTTGACCTAAGGAACCCTAAATAAGGAACGAGGCCTCTTTTTCCCATAAGTTTAACTTCGATGTCCCATCGAAACCCTAAGCATAACCAAAGGCGAACTGCAAAACAACTAAGGAACACCAAGCCCCTCCCCAACGAAAAGGGTTCCTTCCTCAGCGCCCCGACTGTACAGCCTGCACTGCCCCCGACTCGGATGTGCCCTGCGCTGGGGCCGCCGCTGGCCGCTGCCCAACATTCAAGAGCTCAAGAGGCCCCAGGACGCTCCATACCCAGACTCCCTCGCGCTGTGAAAAAAATCGCGACGGGAGGTTTTTCTTAGATTTTCGGCCTCCTGGAGCCCTTACCCGGGCCTCGGGGCCGTCAAAAAACTACTCAGGCCGAAAAACCGGTCCCCGGGAAGGGGTCCAGACCTCTGGGGGTCGAGGCTGTGAAAAAATGACGACGTCGGGGGTCTGGGTAGACTGCTCAGGACGCCCCCGAGAAGGCCCCACGAAGGTTTGGATGGCTTTCGGCAGGCTGCCCGCACGACCCAAGAGGCCACCTAATACGGCTGAAAAAATCTTCACTGCTCGCCCCTCAAGCTGAAGGCGCGAACGTGTAAACACGATCCCATGGCAAAATACGTTTGGCCGCATCAAACTTCTGAGGCAACTCCCAAAGGAGCAAGGCATTTCGCAATCGCCCTCCTCGCGATCCCAACGAACTCCCAAGACGGCCCAGGAGACCCGAAATGCGCTTCCAAGAAGCCCTCAAGACAGCCCCGGCGGCCACCAAGACAATCCAAGAGGCGCCCGACAGGCATCCACAAGGGTCCGCGCCGCTCCTCAGACAGCCCAGGGCGACCCCAACATTCCCCCCAAAAAACTCCCCACGCGGCCCAGACAAAAAGTTCCAGAGGCGGCTCAACTACGCCCAAGACATCCCAAAAGGCCACGAACAAAGGCGTCAGGGGGGAAGGGGCACCCAAGAGGCGCCCAAGGTCGTTTACGAAGCCCTGAGACGGCCCAGAGAGATGCAAGCTCCGCGCGGGGGGGCGAACCCCTCAGGCGCGCGGATGGAATCGATCGCACAAACCGCGCCACATCCTCGTCCTCCCCCCCTCTCTCATTTCCCCTCCTTCCTCCTTCCCCCTCCTCTGTCCTTCTTCCGTCCTTCCTCGTCGTCGTCGTCCTCATCTTTCTTCCTTCATTCCGTCGTTCCTTCTCACCCTCCCCTCTCCTCCCAGCCCGCCCGTCCTCCCCCTCCTCCCCCTCCGAACCACGAACGGGCCAACACTGCCAGATGGGAGCATGTGACACTATGCCCGGCCGTGCCAAATTCGACTGCGTGTTCAAGCAATATATCACAGCGGACCGAACGGGGTGATGGAGAGCGAGCCCCTGCAAAGAACAACCGATGCACTGGCAACGGGATGGGCTGGTGGGGACAGGCGACGCGCTTGTGTGGTAGCGACGCAGGCGCTGCGGACATGGACAACGCACAGTGGCCCCCATCTCGGGCGGGAGCGCGAACAAGAAGTGGGAGGGCCACCCAGACACGACAATAATGGAGGGACCCCAGGACACACAAATAAATACACACGAATGAAAATGTTTCCCCTAATTATGTTCCGACATGTTGGGGTTTTTGTCTTCCCCCCCACTTCCCATAGTTTCCCATATTTTCTGGGGAATCGACGATTCCTTGTGTCTGTGTGTTTCTTTCCGTCCTGAAATAACAAGCGCGAAGCAGATCAACTAATCACGCACTGTGCAACTGTGCCCCTGCAGGGCTCTGAGACAAGGCAAAAATCATTGGCCGCGCGCCCATGCAAGCGACGCCCCTCGCGACCCTGCCCTGCAGTGCATTGCAATGCAATGCGACCGACGTCGGCATGACAGAACGAACGCGATCGAACATTGACGCGCAGTTGACGCGCCGTCATCCCTCGGGTGCGTGCGTCGACGCATACGGTACCAGAGTGATCATACACGAGCGAATACAAACAACCCAGACACAGAAATTCATCTGAATAGTTTTATTATGGAGGGTTCTGGTGGCCAAAGAGTTCCCGGATAGCTCTCTGCGAGCTCATCAAGTTTCAAAATAAGAAGCCAAAGCCGCAGGGTAGCCCCAGAGGTCGTTCCTGCTTCCGTGAAAAAGCCTAGGCGCGCCTTATGCGAGACAGAAGCGTGTCCCGAGAAGAGAGGATATCCTCTGCCTCCTCATCCTCATGGTCCCACCTCCGTCTCCTCCTCCTCCTCCTCCGCATCATCATCCTCATCATCAGCATCATCATCATCATCATCATCATCATCATCATCATCACCATCACCATCACCATCACCATCACCATCACCATCACCATCATCATCATCATCATCATCATCAACATCATCATCATCATCATCATCAGCAGCAGCAGCATCATCATCATCATCATCATCATCATCATCGTCATCGTCATCGTCATCGTCATCATCATCATCATCATCATCATCGTCATCGTCATCGTCATCATCATCATCATCATCAGCAGCAGCAGCAGCATCATCATCATCATCATCATCATCATCATCATCATCATCATCATCATCATCATCATCATCATCATCATCATCATCATCATCATCATCATCATCATCATCATCACTATCACCACCACCATTATCATCATCAGCAGCAGCATCATCAGCATCATCAGCATCATCGTCATCGTCGTCATCGTCGTCAGCATCGTCATCGTCGCCATCATCATCACGTCTCCCTTCTCTTCGCATCTAATGTGGTTTCTTCCCCAAGACTTCGAACACCGAGCTCCTTGCCCGAGCTGCCGCGGCGCCACGACTGGCCCCCCTCCGAAGAGGGGGGCCGGCGGAGGCCTCCCCACCTCCCGCCTGCCCCCGTCGGAGTCCAGCACAACGAAGGCAGGACACGGGGAGACCAACAGGTACCGAGACCGCTGTTCCTATAGGGAGCCGGGGGTGTGTCCAAGAGGCTCCCGCCTGGACGCCCCTGGGCCCCGGGCGCTTCTCGACGAGCAGCGGCCCGCCGCGGAGCGGGCGCCGCTCTGCGGAGCAGCGCGGCGCTCTGCGGGGGGCCTCGCCTCTGCGCTTGTCGCGACGCCTGGCGGAACTCACGATTTGGCGGCGCCCAGGAGGGGGCAGGGGGAAGGGGGACGGCTTCTTGGGAGGCCGCTCCTCAGCCTGCGCTGGACCCACCGGGGCCCTCGGAAGCTACTCGCGGCACGAGTTCCACACGAGTGGTGGGCTCGAGAGCTCCCGGCACGGAAGGAGGCACGATGCTGCGTCGGAGGCCTGGGCAGGAAAGGTGAAAGCAAAATCGGGACAAAATCTGACCGATCCGAGTCGGAAAAAATGTCTGAGAATCGGCGGGTTTGGAGGACGTAATTATCTGGCGCCGCGGCCGTTTCAGACGGCTCCGGAATGCTCCGAGAGAGTTCCGGAACGCCCTGGGCTGCAGCTGTCTCGAGTCTATGCTGGGCCCATCGGACGATGCTGCGTCGCAGGCCTGGTCAGAAGCATCCAAGCAAGCACCCGCCCGGCCGGAGCAGCACGCAAGCCGGCGGGGCGCTCACCTCCGGAGGTGCCGCGTGGCGCCCTGGAGGCCCAAACTTTGCGGCGCGGTGTTTGACCATATGCGGTCCCGGGGAATGCCGACCTTTTGGGGCCGGTGTTCGGTCTCGAATCGTTTCTGTTTGCGGTGGTGCCCCGCGAGAGCCCCCTGAGGCCGACAACGGCCAACGCCCACCGTCGGGATGTTTGTCACGACGCGGGCGTGTCTGGGTCGCCTCCGTGGTTGCTGCTTGGCATTCCAGACGGTCTGCGTGTCGGTCGCTCCTGGGCCGCAAATGTGGCCCCTCTGGGGCGTCCCGCCGGCCCCGGTCCCACCTGGTTGCAGCCAAAGTTCTGGAACTGGGTGTGGAACAGCTGGACCTGTACCCGTAACTCAAGGGGCAGGAGCTAGGGCACGAGGAGTCGAGCCCAACACGTCACCGATTGCGCTAGGTGTACTACCTACTGCAAGTGTGCTGCAAGGCAACCGCACATTCTCTCGCAGATGCGCGCGTGCCAACAAGCGCTGCCAATGAACAGGAGGGGAAACAGGAGGAGGAGGAGGGGGAGGAATAGGGCCGTGCTGAGTCTGGGCAGCCGTATTTCGCACACTGAGGAATACTTTACAATAGCACGAGTTGCCTCGCTTCCCTTCAGGACTCGGGCTGCTGACAATCTCTGTGCCTGACTGCAGGAGATGTGGCAAACGCCTGCCAGAAGCAACGCCAGAGCGGGTACTCCAGATTTCGTAATAAGAGGGGGTCTGGACCCTCCAAGACAAGCCATGTCAGACCCTCCCTATGGGAGAACCCTCCAAAACATCGTCCCCAGACCCCCCCAGGCCCTCCAAGATAGCCTGGAAGAGACCCCCCCCCGAAATGAGACCCCCCTCCCTTTATTACGAAATCTGGAGTACCTTCGCAGAGCCTCCTGCCACACAGCACGAGCTCCACCACAAGAAACCTTCCACGAGACGCCCAACCCGGAGACCCACGGGCACCACGTGACTCTTCTGGTGCGGGAACGTGGCGCTTTCCATAGCAGAGCCGTCGAAACCCACGAAACTCAGGGCACCCTGGAGGCAAGCAGGGTGTCCCCCCGACGTAACGAGTTGTTCGTAACGTCGCCCCTCAGTTTTCTCGACCCATTCCCCAGGACCGGTGTTTCGTCCCGAATCGTCTCGCTGACGGTCCCGACGCCCGGGAGGGGCCCCCAAAGGCCGACAAGCGCGGGAACAACCTTCCGTCGCTCACGGCTCGAAGGGTCTGGGCTTCTTGGCAAGTGCTGGGCGGAGATCCAGCAGCTCGCTCTCATAGGGTCGAGCAGCTCACTGCACTCTGAGGCCTGTAACGCCTTAGGAGCCTCCGATGGAGCTTCCGCTGTACACCTGGCGAAATGCTTAAGAAATCATGGGTTAAGAAATTCATAGTCTCAGAACTTGAATAAAAACCCAAATTTTCTATTAAATCTTAGGGTTTACGTTGAAACATTAAGAATAATCGAGACTCTGGCCGAAAACTTAAGTTTTCTTAAGCATCGCCTAAGGTGTATGCCAGGGATCGGGGCGGAGGAGGGCCGACCCCGTGCTGCGCTCCGACACGCCTCGGCAGCAGCTTTTTGTGAGCAGCGGGCGGCCAGGTGCCGGCGCCACGAGGCGCGCAGGCGCCTCTCGTGCAAGGGGGGGCCCTGGGGCACGCAGGCAAGCAGACAGGAAACCCAGGATGACCCATAATGCGGGATGACGATTAACAACATAAATGAGGGAGCGCGATTAAGAACATAGCTTTCTGCTAGGTCTGCACAAGTGCTGACTGGAGGAGAACGATTTAGAACATAGTTTTCCAGCCCGCGGCCGGTGTTTTCTAATCGTCATCCCGGGCGCCGCCGCGTGCATACGACCCCCGGTCATTTATTAATCGTCATCCTCCATTATGCTTCCACATGCTTTGGGTTTTCATCTTCCCCCCCACTTCCCATATGTTACCATGTTCTCCAAGGGGTCGACGAGTAATGGTGTCTGTGTGTGTGGCTTTCCCCTCCTGATCGTGCCAATTCAGACACCTCTTGTGCCCACTGGCGATGCGCTGCGATACTACGCGCTGACGAGCCCCAAGCTATCCACACCGGGCCGATCCACTCCGAGGGGAGGCGTTCGAGATTCGGATAGACAAGAGGGGGTGGGCCTGCAAGCGAGACTTGCGGGGTCCAGAAACCCGAATAGCAGGGCGCCACAAGCGCGTGGAAAGGCCTGTCGAAGAACCTTGGAAGGACCTGGAGAGAGCTTCCGGGCACGCGTATTGGGAAACGCTCAAAGAAAAGGCCTGCTGGGACACGTCTCCGGTTCAAGCAACTCGCGCCGAGGTGTTCTCACGGACGCCAGAACGACCTCCGGGGCTCCCCTGCGGCTCAGGCTTCTGAATCTGAAACCCTCTTAGCACTCTGCGAGCTATCCAGGAAGAGAAGTGGAATGTGGACTGTGCCGTAAGCTTGTGCTGGCCGGCGCAAGAGAGGACCAGCTTCGAGGCGGCCAGGGGGTCAGGACGCCAGAGGATCTGTCAGGAGAAGGGCACGGAGCCAAACCCGCTCAAACTCGGTCCCAACACCCCTCCCGGGGTGGCGGCCAGGGGGTCAGGACGCCAGAGGATCTGTCAGGAGAAGGGCAGGAAGCCAAGCCCGCTCAAACCCAGACCCCCGACGTCATGTTTTTTTCATTACGTCGACCCCCAGAGGTCCCGACCCTTTCCCCATGACCGGCTTTGCATCCTGAGTCGTTTTCTGACGCTCCCGAGGCCCGGTGAGGGCCCCCGGAGGCCGAACCTGAGGAAAAACCTCCCGTCGTGATTTTTTCATTACTCGAGGGGGTCTGGGGAGGATCTGTCAGGAGAAGGGCGTGAAGCCAAGCCCGCTCAAACGCAGTCCGTCCGAGAGCGGCAGGAGCGAGGAGGAGGAGGAGGGAGGAGGAGGAGGAGGAGGAGGAGGAGGAGGATCCGTGTTTGAGGAAAGCGGACCCCCCAGGCCTCCACCTCCTATACCCCATGGTTCTCTCTAGACCTCCACCGGCCCTCCTCCTCTTCCTCCCCTCCTCCTCCTCCTCCTCCTCCTCCTCCTCCTCCTCCTCCTCCCCCTCCTCCCTCCTCCTCCTCCTCGTCCTCCTCCCTCCTCCTCTCCTCCCTTCTCCTCCTCCTCCTCCTCCTCCTCCTCCCTGCCCCTCCTCCTCCTCCTCCTCCTCCTCCTCCTCCTCCTCCTCCTCCTCTTCCCCCTGGGAAAAAAAAGAAAAGGACCCAATTGAACCCAGCCCTTCGGACCTCGTCCCACCCCTTCCTGCTCGCCAGAACCAGTGCTGGGCCACCTCAAACCCCTAGCCGGCTCCAGGGACCAACGTTCTGCTCCGCACGCTCAGCCGTACCACCGCGCTCAATCGGCGGCGAGCGAGGGGAGCAAGTGAAAAAGGAGAAGACCTTATCAGAAGGCATCGGAACTTCTCAGAAGGCCTCCGGCCTTCTGAGAGATTTTCTGCGTCTTCGGGGAAGGCTCAGAAAACTTCCCAGAAGGCAGGGGGACTTCCGAACCCTGTGAGAATAGAGGCCTTCTAGTTGGGGTCGGAGTACACGGGGTCGGAGGATCGCGCCGCATCGCCGATGCATCGCCGATGCATCGGCGATGCATCGGCGACGTCGGCGATGCATCGGCGACGTCGACGTGAAGCAAATCGGGTTCCACATCGGACCGCATCGGCGATGCATCGGCGATGCGGCGCGCTCCTCCGACCCCATGTGCTCCGACCCCATCTAGGAGGCCTAGTGACTCACGACAGCATTGGGGCCACAGAAAAAGAAAGGACGGGGCCTGAATCCACGAGCCCCTGCCGTCCTGCAGGTGCACGTTCAATGACTGGAGCCCGCTTTTTCCTGTTATCCGCGACCACGCCCATGACTGGCTGGGCCCCCCGAGCCTCGCACGGACCACATGTGCAAATCGCGACAGCTGCATAGAAGAAGAAATGAAAGCAGAAGCACCAACTGTTGGCGCTCCTCGCGGGTTTCTTGGATCTGCGCTGGACCCCCCTTCCCTGGCGCGCGGAGCGCGCCACGGGCGGCGCAAGAGGCGCCTGGGGGGCCCCCCGGGGCGCCGCCAGGGGGGCCCCGCGAGGATCCCAAAAAATCCGCGCGGAGCGTCAGAAGTTTATGTTTGTGGCGTATTTTCAGCCTCGATTCCAGGTAACGCGCGTCGCCACCAGAATCGTACAGCACAGCTGGACTGAGTAGGAGGACGGTGGACCCAGACCCCCGACGTAATGATTGTTCACCATGTCCTAAGATGGGGTTCTTGTTATCACTTGGACGCCTCCTACTCCTTCCTCCTCTTCTTCTCCTTCTCCTCCTCCTCCTCATCCTCCTCATACCCAGACTTACTCATACACAGACTCACTCATACCCATACCTAATCGTCCTCATACTACTTCATGACATAGTAAGCTCACACCCACTCAAATCCATACCCAGTCATAGACATACCCACTCCCACTCGTTCTCGTGTGCATGATTTGCGGTACGGCTCGTTGTCTCCCATTTGGACTAACTCATGCTCAGATATACTCATACCCAGACCTACTCATACACAAACTTACTAAACCTCAGACCTGCTCATACTTAGACTCACTCAGACTCGGACTTACTCATGCTGAGACTCAATCGTACCCAGATTGACTCATACTCCGACTCGTTTCCCGACGTACTCATACACAGACCTACTCCTACTCAGACCTACTCATACTCAGACCTGCTCATTGTCTGGCATACCCAACACACAGCAGATTGTCAGGATGTCCCACGCGGGGCGATGGCTTCAGCACCCCTAAGGGGAGCCGCCAGGGGTGTTGTCACGGTCCCGTTCGCAGCATTTGTGCGGGGATGTCTCAGGCGGTGTGCCTGCTTTCTCTCTCAACATCCTTGGCTATCAGAGCAGATTCTGAGGATGTCTCAGGCGGGGCGCTGGTTTCAGCACTCCCAAGGGGAGCCGCCTGGGGTGTTTTCGCGGTCCCGTTCGCAGCATGTGTTTGGGGATGTCTCAGGCGGCGTGCCTGTTTTCTGTTTCAATATCCTTGGCTATCAGAGCAGGTTCTGAGGATGCCTCAGGAGGGGCGCTGGGTTCAGCACTCCCAAGGGGAGCCGCCTGGGGTGTTTGTTTTCACGGTCCCGTTCGCACCATGTTTGTGGGGATGTCTCAAACGGTTTGCCCGCTTTCCCTGTCAACATCCTTGGCTATCAGAGCAGATCCTGAGGATGTCTCAGGCGGGGCGTTGGTTTGAGCACTCCCAAGGGAAGCCGCCTGGGGCGTTTTCACGGTCCCGTTCGCAGCATGGTTGTGGGGATGTCTCAAGCGGTGTGCCTGTTCTCTCTCGCAACATCCTTGGCTGTCTGAGCAAACTCTGAGGATGTCTCAGGCGGGGCGCTGGTTTCAGCACTCCCAAGGGGGACCGCCTGGGGTGTTTCCACGGTCCCGTTCGCAGCATGTGGTTGGGGATGTCTCAGGCGGCGTGCCTGTTTTCTGTTTCAAGATCCTTGGCTAGCCGAACAGATTTTGAGGATGTCTCAGGCGGGGTGCTGGTTTCAACACCCACAAAGGGAGCCGCCAGGGGTGTTTTCACGGTCCCGTTCGTGGCCGCGTTGTGGGGATGTTTCTGACGGTTTGCTTGCTTCCTGTTGTTGCGTTGGTCCCGAGTGGTTCTCCCCGTTGCGTGCTGCGCGCGCGTGTCTTCGCCGCTCACGTAGGTGCGCTCTTATAACAAACCTATCATAGACAGCTGCTCACCATAGCGCTACCCTACAATATGCAAATATCCTTAATACAATACTACATTAAAACACTTGCACACCTGGGGAGTTCCACGCAGTGGGTAAGTTGTGTTGGTTCTCCTATCGCCATACCCGAAGGTATTTTATCCCCCAGGTCCTAAGATGATTACTTTTATTACTTGGACGCCTCCTACTCCTTCCTCCGCTTCATCTCCTCCTCCTCCTCCTCCTCCTCCTCATACCCAGACGTACTCATAAACATACTTACTCATACCCAGGCTTCTTCATGACACAGTAAGCTCACACCCACCCGCATCCATACCCAGTCATAATCATACCCGCTCCCACTCGTTCTCGTGTACATGATTTGCGGTACGGCTCGTTTTCTCCCACTTGGACTTACTCATGCTCATGAATATTCATACTAAGACTTGCTCTCTCACACACACACAACTTACGAATACACTGACCTACTCATACTTAGAGTCCCTCATGCTCGGACTTACTCATGCTGAGACTCACTCATACCCAGATGCACTCATACTTCGACTCGTTCCCAGACATACTCATACACAGACAAACTCCGACTCATACCTACTCATACTCAGACATTCCCATTGTCTGACTTCCTCAACACACAGCAGATTGTCAGGATGTCCCAGGCGGGGCGATGGTTTCAACACCTCGAAGGGGAGCCGCCAGGGGTGTTGTCACGGTCCTGTTCGCAACAATTGTGTGGGGGTGTCTCAGGCGGTGTGCCTGCTTTCACTCTCAACATCCTTGGCTATCAGAGCAGGTTCTGAGGATGTCTCAGGCGGGGCGCCGGTTTCAGCACTCCCAAGGAGAGCCGCCAGGTGTGTTTTCACGTTCCCGTTCGCAGCAATGTGGTGGGGATGTCTCAGGCGGGTTGCCTGTTTTCTGTCTCGACATCCTTGGCGATCAAAGCAGATTGTCAGGATGTCTCAGGCGGGGCGCTGGCTTCAGCACCCCAAGGGGAGCCGCCAGGGGTGTTTTTACGGTCCCGTTCGTGGCCGTTTTGTGGGGATGTCTCTAGCGGTTCGCTTGTTCCCCATATCCTGATATGGGATTCTTGTTATTCCCATATCCAAAGGGGGGGTGTCTCGTTATTCTCCGACCGCGCCGGACCACCCCTCCCCTCCTCCCTCTCTGCACTCGACAATGATGATGATTGTCATGATGATGACCATGGTATGGTGAGAGTATGATGTGAGTCTGATGGTGTTTGTGAATGATGGATTGTGGCAGCGATGATGATGATGATGATGATGATGATGATGTTGATGATGTGATGATGCTGATGAGGATGATGATGATGATGACGATGAGCAGATGATGAGGATGTATCGAGCGGCTTGCTGGTTTTAGCACTCCTACGGGGGGGGCGCCAGGGGTATTGCACGGCCTGCGTTCGCGCCCAATTGTGGGGATGCCTCAGGCGGTTTGCCTGTTTTTTTCGGAGCAGATGTTGAAGATGTATCGTACGAAGCGCCTCCTAAGGGGGGGCCGTCAGGGGTATTGCACGGCTTCCGTTCGTGCCCAAACGGCGGGCATGTCTCAAGCGGTTTGCCTGTTTTGGTCCTCAACATCCTCCGCTTTCGATGCAGATTTGGAGGATGTCTGCGAGGCGCTCATGTTCGGCCACTAGAGGGGGCGGGGGGGCAGATGTTTGGGATGTCTCGGTCGGTTCGCCTGTTTTGGTGGCCAGACACCCGTGGGCACATATTCTCCCCAGGATGCCACAGGAGGCTCCAGCAGGCTTCTGGAGGCCCCAGGAGGCCACATGAGGTCCCAGGAGGCATCAGGAGGCCACAGGAATATTCAAGAGGCCACAGGATGTCCCAAGAGGTTCCAGGAGGCCCCAGGAAGCTCCAGGAGGCCTCAGGAAGCCACAGAAAGCGCCAGGAGGCCCAGGCAACAGGAGGCCCCGAGAGGCCCCAGGAGCAGGAGGCCGCAGAAAGCAACAAGCGTGGTTCCAATCCCATGTGTTTTACGTATGCTCCTCCCGGGCCTCACCTGGAGCACGAATCCTTGATGTGATACGTATGATTATGTATGTATGGTCCTTCTCCTGCGTACACAATCCTAAGTGTGTTACGTCTGTTCCTATAGATTGAGCATCCCCTCGGGCACGAATCCTTGGTGTTTTACGTGTGCTCTTATAGACTGCCCTTATCCTGTGGCTCCAACCCGCAATGTTATATGCACGTCTGCTCCTATAGATCAAGCTTCTCCTGGGGCACGAATCCTCCCTAGGAGGTCCCAGGAGGCTCCAGGAGGCTACGCGAGGCCCGCCCCATGAGGCCGCAGGAGGCCACTCGAAGCCCCAAGAGGCCCCAGGAGGCCCCAAGAGGCTCCTGGAAACCCCAGGGGTGCCCAGGAGGTTTCTGGAGGCCCTAAGAGGCCCCAAGCTCATGCGCAGAGACGCGCTCGTACTACCGAGACTCATCCACGCTCCAATCAGTTCGATGTTAGATTAATGACGAGACTGTCACAACTCAAGCCCGCTTATATTCGAATGCTCTTGCGAATAGACTCCCACGGCGGACAGGTCCATGCGAATAGATGCACATATGGGGAGCTCCACGCATACTAAGACCTAGTCCTCTTCACTTACTCATAATCAAACCTACTCATGCTCAGACCTACTCATACTCAGACTTACTCATGCTAAAAAAAACTCATACCCGGACTTACTCCTACTCAGACCTTCTCATTGTCTAACTTACTCAACATACAGCAGACTGTGAGGATGTCTCAGGCGGGGCGCTGGTTTCAGCACCCCTAAGGGGAGCCGCCGAGGGGTATTGCGCGGTCCCGTTCGCGGCCGTGCTGTAAGGATGTCACACGCAGTTTGCCTGTTTTCTGTCTCAACATCCTTCGCTTGGAGAGCAGATTGCCAGGATGTCTCAGGCGGGGCGATGGTTTCAGCATCCCTACGGGGAGCCGCCGATGGGGTATTGCACGGTCCCGTTCGCGGCCGTTTTGTTGGGATCTCTCAAGCGGTTCGCCTATTTTCTGTCTCGGCATCCTTCGCTTGGGGAGCAGATTTTGAAGATGTCTCAGGCGGGGCGCCGGTTTCAGCACCCCTAAGGGGAGCCGCCGAGGTGTGTTGCACGGTCCCGTTCGTGGCCGTTGTGTGGGGATGTCTCTTAAGCGGTTTGCTTGTTTTCTGTCTCAACATCCTTCGCTCGGAGAGCAGATTGTGAGGATGTCTCAGGCGGGGCGTTGGTTTCGGCTACCTAAGGGGAGCCGCTAAGGGTGCTTCCACGGCTCCGTTCGTCGCCGTTCTGTGGGGATGCCTCTAGCGGTTTGATTGTTTTCTGTTTTTGCGTTGTGTCCCGTTTTGAGTTTCGGCTCTTGCGTTGTACAATATGAAATGCACATGTGGCTCATATGGCTAGACGCTCATTTCAATATACCAAATACAGTATCACATTTCAAACAAGGGTGCACATATGTGGAGCTCCACGCCGCGAGTAATTTCATTACGTCGACCCCCAGAGGTCCCGACCCTTTCCCCATGACCAGCTTTGCATCCCGAGTCGTTGTTTGACGCCCCCGAGGCCCGGCGAGGGCCCCTGGAGGCCGAAAATTAAGAAAACCATCCGCCATGCATTTCTCATTACTCGAGGGGGTCTGGGGAGGGGGGGGGGGGGGCCACGAGAACGAAAATGAGCAGCGCTGCCAGCCTGCCACCCCTTCAACGGCTTACCCCCCCCCCCCCCCCCCTGGCGGCGCCGGCGCGTAGCCTGGCGCGGCCGCCCCCCCCCCCCCCCCCATTTCTCCCCTGCGCTAAGTTGGGCGCGCCCCCCTCGCAGGGGGATTTTCGATGAAAATAACACACGTGCAAAAAATATCCAAAACGGCCCCAAAAAGAATACTCCAAAAATTATACACCGACTACTTTTTGAATATGTTTGAACATTCCCCCTGTAGAGGGACAGGCCCGACTTAACCCTACCCCTGTCACGCTTGCGTTCGCCAGCGGGTGACAAAACAAACAAAGACGTGATGCCTCGATTTTCTCAGCGCGGCCCCTCCGGAAGTTCCGAGCAGTTCCTCAGGGCCGGTCTTCAGCCTGAAGAATGGTTTGCCGGTCATACAGGGCCTGGTATAAGGGCGCCCACTTTGTTGGGCGCGGGTTCTATAAACACTATATATAGCTATTGTGCACTATGGGATCCGATCAACATGCACAAAAAATGAGAAACATAAAGCAATAGTGAAAATCGTAAAACAATAATGTTAAATAATAAAAATGGTAAACAATAGTTTTTTTATAAACAATATCGCAAAAATAGTGAAACAAATAGTGAAAGTGAAAAAATAGCCTATTCTAAGAAAAATCACAAACCAGCTCGCTCGGCAATTCCGAACGCACTGCAGGCAGCAGCGATGCCACCAGGAACCGTCCTGCGCGAAGTGCCACACGTCCATGTTGGCTGCGGGGCCGAGGGCGCCGCACGTGGCGCAGCGAGCATCCCAGGCAACCATTTAACGAATTCTCGAATTCGGTTGGGCGAATTCAAAAAACTTGAAGCAAAAAACGGCTGCGACGAAATCGTTATCCTGTCCTCCTCCTCCTCCTCCTCCTCCTCGTCCTCCTCCTCCTCCTCCTCGTCCCTCCTCCTCCTCCTCCTCCTCCTCCTCCTCCTCCTCCTCCTCCTCCTCCTCCTCCTCCTCCTCCTCCTCCTCCTCCTCCTCCTCTTCATCCTCCCATGCAAAGCGGTTGGGCCGCTGAGGAACAGAATGGGGAGGCAGGAGGGAAGCGAACGCAAAGCGGTTGGCCCGCTGAGGAGGGAAGAGGAAACGGATGAGGGAGGTGACGGAAGGCGGGGGGGTAACAGTAGTTAGAAAAAAAAACAAACAAAAGAGAGAAAACAACAGCTTCTTTTTTTTTAATGAAAAAAAACGAAAACAGAGAAGACACCACCAGACAACCCAAAACAACACAAAAACAACAAAAAACAACAACAAACAACACAAAAACAACACAACCACAACAAAAACAACATGTTGATGTTTTTTTGGTTTTATTTTTTGTTGGTGTTTATGTTGTGTTTGTGTTGTCTGGTGTTGTCTGGCGCCCGCCCTACAAGACAACACAACAACAACAAACAACAACATAAAAACAGCATACAACAACACACACCAACAAACAAACAACATGAAAACAACACCCAGACAACATCCAGCTAACATCCAGCCTGCTGCCAATGGGAAGGGGAGGAGGGGGAGGGGGAGGAGGAGGGGGGGGCGGAGGGGGAGGAGGAGGAGGGGGAGGGGAGCGGCAAGAGGATAGAGGAGGAGGGGGGGGGAGGAAGAGGGAGGGGGAGAGGGAGGACGAGGGGAGGAGGGAGGGGAGGAGGAGGAGGAGGAGGAGGAGGGGAGGAGGAGGAGGGAAAGATGATAGAGGAGGAGAGTAGGAGGAGGAGAAGGAGGAGGGGGAGGAGGAGGAGGGGGAGGAGGAGGGGAAAGAGGATAGAGGAGAGGGTAGGAGGAGGAGAAGGGGGAGGAAGAGGAGGAGGAGGAAGAGGAATGGGAGGAGCTTCAGAGCTTCGGATTTGGGGGTGCCGAGGCCCAGGAGTGCCAGCACCAAGGGGGTGCCGAGGCCCCAAGAGGGGCGCCGAGGAGGAAGGGGAGGACTGGCCGAGGAGGAGGAGGAGGAGGAGGAGGAGGAGGAGGAGGAGGAGGGGGACGAGGAAGAGGAGGAGGAGGAGGAGGAGGAGGAGGAGGAGGTGAAAGCGGAAAAGAATGAAAGCGGCTCCTCCTCCTCCTCCTCCCTCCTCCTTCTCCTTCTTCTCTCTTGGAGCACAACGTTCTGGCGTCGGTCAGACTTGTTTCAATGTCTGAATTTTGAAAAGTAATGAAACAGTAAAAAACGAATGAAACATAGTGGAATTAGCCTGGCGAAAAACCCAACCATATGCAGTTGTCAGTACCGCAGCTGCGGGTTCCATCTTCAATGGAACTCCCCATAGGATTACGGAACGTGTGAGGGGTGTGCCGGGATGGGTGGCGGGGACGCATGTGAGCGCGGCCGCTGGGGCCTTCGGTGGAGCTCCCTATGGGGCCACGAAACGTGTGAGGGGTGTGCCGAATTGGGTGGGTGTGGGTGACGCATGTGAGCGCCGCCACTGGGGCCTCCGGTGGATGATGGGGCCACGAAACCTGTCAGGGATGTGCCGAAATGGGTGTGCGGGACGCATGCGCATGTGAGCGCCGCCACTGGGGCCTTCGGTGGAGCTCCCTATGGGGCCACGAAACGTGTGAGGGGTGTGCCGAAATGGGTGTGGGTGACGCATGCGGGCGCGGGCACTGGGGCCTTCGGTGGAGCTCCCTATGGGGCCACGAAACGTGTGAGGGTGTGCCGAAATGGGTGTGGGTGACGCATGTGGGCGCGGGCACTGGGGCCTTCGGTGGAGCTCCCTATGGAGCCACGAAACGTGTGAGGGGTGTGCCGAAATGGGTGTGGTGACGCATGCGGGCGCGGGCACTGGGGCCTTCGGTGGAGCTCCCTATGGAGCCACGAAACGTGTGAGGGGTGTGCCGAAATGGGTGTGGGTGACGCATGCGGGCGCGGGCACTGGGGCCTTCGGTGGAGCTCCCTATGGAGCCACGAAACGTGTGAGGGGTGTGCCGAAATGGGTGTGGGTGACGCATGCGGGCGCGGGCACTGGGGCCTTCGGTGGAGCTCCCTATGGAGCCACGAAACGTGTGAGGGGTGTGCCGAAATGGGTGTGGGTGACGCATGCGGGCGCGGGCACTGGGGCCTTCGGTGGAGCTCCCTATGGGGCCACGAAACGTGTGAGGGGTGTGCCGAAATGGGTGTGGGTGACGCATGCGGGCGCGGGCACTGGGGCCTTCGGCGGAGCTCCCTATGGAGCCACGAAACGTGTGAGGGGTGTGCCGAAATGGGTGTGGGTGACGCATGCGGGCGCGGGCACTGGGGCCTTCGGTGGAGCTCCCTATCACGAAACGTGTGAGGGGTGTGCCGAAATGACGCAGCGGGCACGAAACGTGTGAGGGGTGTGCCGAAATGGTGGGTGACGCATGCGGGCGCGGGCACTGGGGCCTTCGGTGGAGCTCCCTATGGAGCCACGAAACGTGTGAGGGGTGTGCCGTGCGGGCGCGGGCACTGGGGCCTTCGAGCTCCCTATGGAGCCACCGTGTGAGGGGTGTGCCGAAATGGGTGTGGGTGACGCATGCGGGCGCGGGCACTGGGGCCTTCGGTGGAGCTCCCTATGGAGCCACGAAACGGTGTACTGGGTGGGTGAAGAGGAGAGGAGGAGAGGATGATAGGAGGGGAGAGGAGGCGGAGGAGGAGAGGAGGAGAGGAGACGCGGGCCACCGTCTCTTCAAAACGAGGACCCAACACCACAGGATGGTTGGGAAAAAACATAAAAAAATACTGAGAAGCAGTGAAAATATTGAAAAATAGTATTTTAAAAAAGGAAAAATAGTGAAACATAGTAAAAATAGTGAAACAATGAATAAGTTTAGGGATTCCAAGTGTTGCTGATGATAAGACAATGTAAGCTCCTATAGATCCTATAGTGAAACATAGGGGGGGCTATGGGGCACTACACTATCGGCATTCCTATAAAACTTATAGGCCATCCTAACCAATCCAAACTCATCCAAACCTCGCCTAAAATAGAACCACTTACGTAACCTATAACTACTTATAAGGTCGCACCCAACAAAGCAGGGGGCCCAAAATGGCAAACAACCTCCCGTCCTGATTTAGTTCAGGACGCGAGCATGCGAGCATGTCTGGGAAAACGGTCTCCTGCGCGGGCGTGGGGTTGCTCTTCCCGTCGGTGACGTCCGGCGGAGCCCGCGCCACGAACTCAAGGAAGCGGCCCCGGTCAGTCGGGCCCATGAAGTCCGTGAGGCGCGTGCCCTGGGCATCCCGCGTGTTCAGCAGGAGGTCCAGCTTCGGAGCCTGCAGGGTGCGGCAGGGCCACGCGCGCGACGAAAAGATGCGGATCCAACGCACGAAGACATACCCAGACGAGCCCGTGTCGTAAACAAGAAAACAGGACGCAGGTTTTGCCTTGCCTCAGGCCTCTATAGGGGCCTCCGCCGCAGGCCTGACCGGCCCCGGGACAGCAGGCAGCAGCCCGCCGGCCGAAGGTGAGGGCCCTCCCCCCCCCGGCTGAGCGCGCCGCGCAGCTCTCCGCAGAGCGTCGCGGTGCTCCGCGGCGGGCCGCTTGGCTCGTCGAGCAGCGCCCCGGGCCCAGGAGCGCCCTGGCGGGGCAGGCTGAGGCTCGGGGGCCCCCCCTCGAGGAGGAGGGACCCTGAGATCCTAACGCCTCCACAATTACTCAATATGAATACTACTCTCCCTCTTCCCATGATGACGGTTTGAAAGTGTTCGACCCCCCCCCCCCCCCCGCGTACTGTTTTTTTTGCACACAGGTTTCCCCGGAGTTAGGTTTTCGCTTGCAATTTTCAAAATGCTGCTCTCGCTGAGGCGCCGTCCTCATTTTCGGGCCCCGCTCGTTCCGAATCGTGTTCCCGCTGCAGCGCTGGCCTCATTTCCGTGCTTCCGCTCGTTCCGAATCGTGCTCCCGCTGCAGCGCTGGCCTCATTTCCGCGCTTCCGCTCGTTTCGACTCGTGCTCCCGCTGCAGCGCTGGCGTCATTTCCCGTGCTATGCCACGGCATGCAATGCAATGCTACGTTGATACTACGCTTTGCGGTGCTCTTCTACGCCATGCCACGCCGTGCTCTACAATGCATCGCGTACCCTTTCGGGATCATTGCCCTGCTCGACATCCGACTGTGCGAATAGAGAGGGGATCTTCGCCGTGGTAAGGGATGGGCGGAAGGGGTAGGAGATCAGACATGACGCGAGCGCACCTAGCTTGTCCTCCCCCTCCTCCCCCATCCTCCCCTTCCTCCTCGGGATCCTGCAGGCTCCCCAGGCCCCGTCGAGTCCTGGCTTTTCGCGATTTCCGGCCCCTGGGGGCCCTCGCCGGGCCTCGGCACCGTCCCCACACGACTCGGGAAGAGAAACCAGTCCTAGGGAATGGGCCGTGAACCTCCTCTTCCTCCTCCCCCTCCCCCCTCCCCCTCCCCCTCCTCCTCCTCCTCCTCCTCCTCCTCCTCCTCCTCCTCCTCCTCCTCCTCCTCCTCCTCCTCCTCCTCCTCGGTTCGGGTTCGGTCGAATGGCGGAGAGTCGAAGCCAATGATGGTGAGAGATAGGGCGAGAAGACCGCTGGGTGAAGAATGACAGCAGGCAGCAACAGCAACCGCGAAGGTGGACTGAACTGCCTGGCGCTCTTGGCGCAGCCTGCACCTGTAAGTGCAAGCAGGGGTACTATCACTTAAAGCTGATGGACACTTAAGTAAAGGAAAAGGGGAAGAAATATAGAGATGGAAAAGGAGAGCCTTCCCCCACGGAGTGAAACCAGTTACTGCCTGTGGCGAAGCTGGGCGATGACGCCGAGCATGCTCGATCGTTACTGCCGAGAGGGCGGCGCACCCTGCGGAGCCTGTGGTTGGGCTCGGCATTCCTTCACGTAGAGCCCTTCACTGAAAACACAACGCTGCTGGCATAAGGCAAGCAGCTCTGCAACTCAACAATAAATGACAAATAAAACACATGAACACAACACAGGGAAAGAAGAGGGAGGGCCGGTGCACGTCACAAGTCGGGATCCGTGGCCGTCCGATGCAACATACAATCCATACTGATGCCCTGTACCAAGTAAGGGTCCCACGGTGCCGAGAACTGTCGTAACCCTGTCGGCACACTCCACCCGTCACAAGAATCGCCAAGGTCCACCAACGCCCTTAACGCTCGTTCGTCGTTGAGGGTCCACGCGAGTGGTGGCCTGACAGCAGCAGGGGACGAGGGAGGAGGGTGTCCAGGGCCCTGGCACAGTTCGGGGAACCTAGAGCGGGTCTCCTCTAGGAAGCTGGCAGCCAAGAACAGGCACAGGCGATTCGGGTAGGTCTTGAGGTGAGCAGCGCGCCAGAGTCCATCATTGCCTACCCCCCAGAACCCCCTATGTGGCCTCGCGTGAATGCACCTACCACGGCCTATCTTGGCCTCCAGGATGGCCCCCATAGCAGGAACATGAACCGCGAGGAGCGTAGTGGGTTTCAGCCCCTGGCCCCCGAACATGCACTGATGAATGTGGTGAGCCTTAACCCCAGGAAGCCCCTCAAGTCTGCGAAGTTGGGGAAGCAACCAGGAGCTGGGAGCCTCAGGGACGCGGGTGTTAAGTGAGGGGTGCTCCATCAAAGCGGGGATCCCAAACGTCCAGGCCTCGTAGAGAAAACGGATGGTGGTGCGTAGGAGAATGTTTCCTAGCCGCACCTGCTCGCGCTCTCTGGCATTGAGGTGGCCTAGCCCCCATAAATGCTGGGCAGAACGTAGGGGGCGGGGTGGCTTCCTCCCTCCAGGGGCGTCCTCGGGAACGGGCAGGTGACGAGCCGAGGACCATGTCTCGCACGGGGGGCCAGCGAGAATTCCAGCGACACGCCCAGATCGCAACATTAAGGACCACAAATGTACGGTGGCAGGGGCAGTGAGATCGCCGTGCGTTGCATGGTTAGCAACGTCTATACTAAGCACAATAACGTTAGTGGGTAGGTCCTTTATCAAAGCTTCTAAATGCCACTGGAAATCCCGCTCTCGCCTGAATCCTGAGAACAGGTGTAGGATATACTTGACTGGCCGAATGGGCAGGGGCCGAGGGGAGAAAGCGGAGGGGTGAGGCGGCGGAGGGGGAGGGGGGACCTGAAGAACTGGGGCCTCAAGCTTGGCCTGCCTGCGCGAGACAACGATGCGAGGTCCAACTGGCGGTCCCTCGAGCTGGACGGGGGGGGATGACGCAAAGTTGGCCGGCCTCCCCTTCGATCGGTTGTCGGCTGATACTCGGCGAGCTTCTTCACGTGCCTGTGCCAGCTCGTCTTGGTGAGCTGGACCTGCTGCGTAGCCTGACCTGCTCCAAGACACGCGACATGTGGGGGCATTACGAAGATGCTGGGTGAGTCTTGCTACATCACTGAACTGTTTCAGGCATATCTGGCAAACAGAACCTACTGCGATGGCCGTCGGGGCCTCGGGCGTTTTGTGAAATTTCCCCATGTGTGCCAAAAGGGCCTGCTCACTAGCTGTGGTATGAACACAATGGGGGCACTTGAGGAGTGGGACCGATGGGGGTGCGTCGCAAAGGGGGGTTCCTTGAGCTGTAGTTCGGAGCTCTCTCTCCCATATAGCTCTGTGCATGTCGTCCTGTGCATGTGGCTTAGCATGACTAATGGCAGAGCTAATGAGGGAACGGTAGGCACGGGGATTATTCAGAGCAAATCGGACTAGTCCCTGAGATGTGGTGTCGGTAGGGCGGCGGGCTGGGTCAGTGTGGAACAGAAGCCAATCATAATCCGCCTGTAGCTGGTGTGCCCACCCTCGTGGATCATCCCATGTTATATCTACTAGAACCCTAATGAGTGGGGGGGCATTGGTGAGCATGCGCGCAAGATAACGGAGCCTCGCTATGGTCATGACAACGACTTGCGGAAATCTCTGAGTGTCAAACAAGACCTGAGCAGAAAGAACGTGATCATTGGCGTTGTTGGTGCTTGAGGGATTCAACGCCGCTCGGTATACCGCCATGTGCGCCGTGCACATATGTCTAGCTTGGGCGACAGTGATGGTAGGCCAAATGGCCCCACTGCATAATGCAGGACCGACGAGGATAAAGCCTCAGCATAAAGCACTTTAGAACGCAGTGAGAGGCCCTCTCTCGGGCCAATGGTGGCCTTGATGGGCATGAGAGCGGCGCGGGCCTTGGCGCAGCGGGCGGTGACTTCAGGAGCCATGCTGCCAGATGCAGCGATTTGAACCCCCAGGACCTTGTGAACCTGGACGATAGGGAAAGCAAAACCCCAGCGCACTGACTCGACCTCCGCGACCCCGAAAGAAAATCCAGGGACCCCGCGGGACCCCACGCCACGCAGAAACACAAGTAACTTGGTCTTGGCGGCATTGGGGCGAAGCCCTAAAGATAGGCAGGATACGTACACTGCCTCAGCAAGGGCCAACGCCACTGTGGGCATGTCCTCCTCCTCCTCCTCCTCGTGACGTCGGGGGTCTGGGCCCTGCCCGCTGGCCCAGGCCGATGCACCCCTTGCTTGCAGCAGGATGCTGCAAGATCCCCGTCTCTCGAGGCCCCCGTCCCCCGAGGCCCCAGGGAGAGGAGGAGGAGGGGGAGGAGGAGGAGGAGGAGGAGGAGGAGGAGGAGGAGGGAGGAGGAGAGAGGAGGAGGAGCAGGAGGACGTCGGGGGTCTGGGCACTGCCCGCTGGCCCAGGCCGATGCACCCCTTGCCTGCAGCAGGATGCTGCAGGATCCCCGTCCCTCGAGGCCCCCGTCCCTCGAGGCCCCAGGGGGAGGAGGAGGAGGAGGAGGAGGAGGAGGAGGAGGAGGAGGAGGAGGAGGAGGAGGAGGAGGAGGAGGAGGAGCAGCAGGAGGAGGAGCAGGAACAGGAGCAGCAGCAGGATCCCGTTCCGTTTGCATGGGCCCCCGCCTCTCGAGGCCCCGAGGCCCCGCCTGGACGCCCCTGGGCCCCGGGGCGCTCCTCGACGAGCGGCTGCCCGTCGCGAAGCGGGCGCCGCTCTGCCGAGCCGCGCGGCGCTCTGCGCGGGGCCTCGCCTCGGTGCCTCTCGCATCGCCTGGCGGAGTTCAGGGTTTGGCGGCGAGCGGGGGAAGGGGGACGGCTTCTTGGGAGGCTGCTCCTCAGAAGGCGCTGGCCCTGCACCTATCGGTGAGGCCCGCGCCGTCTAAGAAGCAGGGGTGCGTCCAGGAAGCCTGCCCCCCCCCCAATTCCCCCCTCTGCGCGTTAAGGGCATTGGATAAGGCACCATGGGATGAGGAATCCAGGGTGCGGAAGCCGGTGGGGGCTCCGATCTTGGGTTGGCCATGGGTATCACCGCCGCCCTCATCATATGGGGGAAACCGAAAGGTACGGATACTGCTACTCCCTGGACCTCTCCAGGTGTGTTCTGACCAGAATGTCGAGGCGAACCCAGCGGTGGCGACGAGGGCCTCCGATGAGGCCAACAATGGGGAGAACGGGGGAAGCGTAGAGGTACGGGTAACTACCTCTTCCTCCCCTGACAGGTCTCAGGGATGCTCCAGGGTCTGAGGCCTCATGCCAACATTCCTTCGCCAACGCCCCGCCCGTAACATGTGGCCCATCCTGCTCCTCGCTGCAGTGACGCGGCTCGGCCGCGGGAGGTCAAGTGCGTAAGTGCGTAAGTGCGTGCGTGCGTGCGTGCGTGCGTGCGTGCGTGCGTGGGGGTGCGTGCGTGCGTGCGTGCGTGCGTGCGTGCGTGCGTGTGTGTGTGTGTGTGCGTGTGTGTGTGTGTGTGTGTGCGTGTGTGTGTGTGCGTGTGTGTGTGTGTGCGTGCGTTTGCTTGCTCCCCTCTTCCCCCTGAATCGGCTACATGAAAGAGTGATCCTGGGCAAGAGTGACCTTTGATGCGCGGCTTGGGCCCGCACCAAAGGTCACTCCCGCGAAGGGTCACTCCGCATGTCTCGCTTGGACTTCCGATTCTTCTAACCCACCCATCGCTTGCATGTTGCAGGGTGCGGCACTTGTACGCTGCGCGATCGACAATGCCCGGTCACAATTAGCTCTTCCATCTGCTGCTCGCGCCTGAGGACCTTCTGCGCCGCTGACATCAAAGTGTGTGTGTATGTGTTTGTGCGTGTGTGTGTGTGTTCGTGTGTGTGCGTGCGCGTGTGTGTGCGTGTGTGTCACAGGTTCCGACCTTACTCCGCTTCGAAGGCGCGCGGGGCCGTGACCGCCAAAAGTGTGTGTGCGTGTATTTGCAATGCTCTTCCGCCAGCGCAGTCAGTCTGCCTAGCCGCCGACGTGAACAAAGTGTGTGCGCTTGTGTGTGCGCGCGTTTGTGCGGGTGGCGGGTGCAGTACTCGCCTCTGCCTCGCCGCCGGCGTAAAAAGTGTGTGTGTGTTGTGTGTGTTGTGTGTGGTGTGTTTGTGTGCGTTTGTGTGTGAGCGTTTTTTTCACGCAAACTCCGCGACCACAGGTATACTTTGGGACCTCGCCCAGCGCGTCTCCGCGCCGCGCGGGAGCGGGAGGCCGAGCAAGAGGGAGGGGGAGGAGAGGAGAAAGAGGAGGAGGAGGAGGAGGAGGCAGCACCCACACACGCTCACACACACAACACACACACAAACGTTGGGAGTTTGTGTGTGTGAGCGTGTGTTGGTGCAGTACTCGCCCCTCCCGGTCCTGTCTGTGCTGCCGCCGCTGCGCATCGCCCTGTCCTGCTCGCGCTGTCGGTCCTGGCCCTTTCGGCACCGCCTCGTCCCGTTCCTTCGCCTCTCCCCCCCGCAAAACCACGCCCGGGCGTGCGCACGGCGCTGTGATCCCTTCGGGCGGGGATCCCTGTCCCTGGCGTCCGAGGGGGCCCGCCGCGCGCGCGCTTGCTCCGCTCCTCAACATTCGTTCCACTCCTCGACGCTGCGCTCGAGGCCGCAACACTCATAATGTTTGTGTGTGGGTGTTTGTACGTGTGCCTCCCTAATTAGAGCTGTGCGTCACCCGCCTGGCTTTTAGCGGAAGAGGTTCGCTCTCGCCCCGCAGATCAAACAATTGTGTGTGTGTGTGCGTGTGTCTGCCGCGTCGTCCTGCGCACACTCCACCCGTGCGGTCCTCCTCTTCGCCCCCTCCCTGTTCCCCCGACCGCGCGCTGCTCCTCCTCCTCCTCCTCCTCCTCCTCCTCCTCCTCCTCCTCCTCCTCCTCCTCCTCCTCCTCCTCCTCCTCCTCCTCCTCCCCTCCCCCTCCTCCTCCTCTCCTCCTCCTCCTCCTCCTCCTCCTCCTCCTCCTCCTCCTCCTCCTCCTCCTCCTCCTCCCCTCCTCCTCCTCCGCCTCCTCCTCCTCCTCCTCCTCCTCCTCCTCCTCCTCCTCCTCCTCCTCCTCCTCCACACCCCGCCCCGTCACCCGACCCCCCGCTCCCTGCCCCCCTCGCTCCCACGGCTCCCCTCGCGAGTGAAGCTGCCGATGCCCGGTGGGCGGATCCGACGTCTCCAGGTCGCGAGGTCTGGGCCGGCCCGCGCGCGCCTCGCTGAGCCCGACCTGTACTTCGCCGCGCCGCTGCGCGCGTGGCCGCGACGCCTAAAAAGTTTGCGTGTGTGCGTGCGTGCGTGCAGGTGTATGCGTGTGTGTGTGTGTGAGTATGAGTGTAAGTGTGTGTGTGTGTGTGTGTGTGTGTGTGTGTGTGTGTGTGTGTGTGTGTGTGTGTGTGTGTGTGTGTGTGTGTGTGTGTGTGTGTGCGCGTGCGTGCGTGCGTGCGTGCGTGCGTGCGTGCGTGCGTGCGTGCGTGCGTGCGTGCGTGCGTGCGTGCGTGCGTGCGTGCGTTTAAGTGTAAGTGTAAGTGTGTGTGTGTGTACGCGTGCTTGTGTGGTTCTGTTTGTTGCTGGGCTGCCCTGGGAGCCCTTGCCGCGACGCGCAGGTCGGTGTCTAGAGTGACGACCACGTCGTAGAGGGCGTAAAGCAGGCAGAGGAGCCGGAGCTCGATCAGCTCGAAGGTCTCCAGAGAGCACCGGACCACGCCGAGGAACCTGAGCTCTTCCCCTCCTTCAGTTGCATCTCGTGGGAGCATCCCACATCATCTTGTTGGCTCTTGCGCAAGGACGCTCATCGACGCTTGTCCACGCTATAAGTCGACGCTCGCCCACGCTTGTCGACGCCAAGTACAAAAGTCGAATGGGGGATCGACTACAGAACTGACTTACCCAGAAATTGGCTTTCCCGCCGAACCTACGAACAAATAGGCGTAATGCCCCGTAGATCTACGAACATCCTACGCGTTTCTGGCATATCTGGCGGGACAATAAATGCGGGAGCAAACCAACTCTGTAGTCGATCCCCTATTCGCACAAGGCTCCCGTGGTCTGCTGCCGAGCCCCTCGTCCCCCGCCTTCGCAGGCCAAGCAACACACTGGCAGACCCTCTCCCGTCCGCCGCGAGGGGGGGGCGCCGACGAGCTCGCATCGCCAGCGGATCGCGCCAGAAGCCACGACACATGGCGGACTCCGGGGACCCTGAGCCCCCCAAAAGCTGTCGTGTCTGGAGTCTGCTAGACCCTCTCCCGTCCGCCGCGAGGGGGGGGCGCCGACGAGCTCGCATCGCCAGCGGATCGCGCCAGAAGCCACGGCACACGGCGGACTCCGGACACCCTGAGCCCCCCAAAAAGCTGTCGTGTCTTGAGCCTGCTCCTGGGCCAGGTCCCCTGCCTTAGAGCTAGAGGAGAGAGAACAATGCACATGCACCGACTCTGGCCAGACCCATCCTGAGCCCATGATCGGTGCATACGCCCTCCTGCCTTGGCCAGGAAGGCATATGCACCGATCCTGGGTCAAGGATGGGCCTTGCCAGGATCAGTGCACGTGCATAGTTCTCTTCGCCCGAAGAGCTGCACAGAGAGAGAAGAGGTCCACACTTCCCGAGCGCCCGCGCCCCGACCCTCTGAAAAACTGGCCCCCCAGACACACTCCAGCCGTGTCTTGGGAGGTCGACTTTTGCCCCCCCGCCGGCCTTCCGCCGTCCTTCCGCCAGCTGCTTCCAGCAGGGCCGCCCTCGTTTTCTCCTTCCGCCGCCCTCCGCCGCCCTCCGCCGAGGAAGAGATAGCAACTCCCTCGACCCTCGAAAGCGAGGCCCTGTTTCGAAGGGGCCCTGGGACACGCAAACAAATAGACACAACTATCAAGATTCCAAATGTTTTCCGACATTTCCCCGGTTTTCGTCTTCCCCCCCCCCCTTCCCATGTTTTCCCATAATTTCCTGGGAGTCGACGATTCATTGTGTCTGTGTGTTTTGGCTCCCTCCTGATTTTTCGCGCGCTCCAATTGGAGGCGACCAGGGGAGGAGGGGGGCGGCCGCGGAGGAGGGACGCGTGAGGAGGTCTCGGGCGTAGAACAGTCCTGGCCACGAGGAGTGCGCGGGCGGCCTCGGGCGCCGGACACCGGGGCTCGAAGGTGTGCGAACACGCACACGCACACACACACACACACAGACACACACACACACACGCACACACACACACACACGCACACACACAACACTAGACGCATACCATGAGAAATCTTGCTGCAAGAGGTATTGGGCCACATTCTTCGTCGAGCTTCGAGGACACTCAGGTGCCCCAGAGCTTCTGTGCGTCCATGGGAGCCAGAGACATTATGTGGGGCACCCGCCGACAGGGCGAATGTCGCATTTGATGCGCCTACTGTCACCCAGGGGGGCCGCTGTACTCGAGACAGTCAACGTGCATGACATGCTGGTCCCGCGGGCCTTTTTCACAACTTGATCTCAAGACGCCCGCAATCCAACAGTCGTAAATTCGGCACATACGGGACCCGAACCGACTGAAGCCAAGGTTACACCTTGGCTTGCGTACGTGCCAGACCGAAAGATGGGATGCGTTCGCCTCGGAGGGGTCGATCCCTTAGAGGCCTAACCCTAGGACAACACAGCTCACCCAACTTCTCGACCGTGGGCCACTCCACAAACACCTTCCCCGGTCCCATGCACCTGGGTAGCGCACATCGTGGTACTGAACTATGCCCGCTCGGAAAAGGTAATTGCGGTATCCGTGCGTTCTGCCCCCCATACCAGCATGGTAGCCAACTAGGTTATTACTTCTGGCAAAATTGCCTGGCCTCTTCTGGCACCGCCTCCTCGCTCAAGTGGCCCTCGGGCCTTGGCCATGCGCGTCGGGCCCCCCAAGGCCCAAGGGCAGACACGGGTCTGCCTCCGCCTCCTGCCCCTCAACACCCCGCATGGGGAAAAAGAAGCGGACGAGAATAGAGGAACAACACAACAGCACAAACACACGCTTTCGGAGGTCCGCGCGGATTTCCGGAATCGGCGCTAGTCCCCTTCCCCCCGGCGCGCGGTACGTGCCGGGGGCGGCGCTGGAAGGGCCCCCAGCGCAAATCCAAAAAGTCCGCGAGAAATGCCGAAAGTTTATGCCCATGCCTTTTGCTCTCCCTTGATGCTGCTCCTCCTCATCACCCATTTTGTGGGGAGGGGGAGAGGGAGGAGGACGAGGAGGAGGACGATGACGACGCGGAGCCTCATGTGCTCCAGCACGAACCAGAAGCACATGGAGGTGGCCATCACCATGTCGAACAGGGGATTCCTGGACGGCGCGTCGTCCCCGCGGAGCCTTAGGAGGCAACTACTGGGAGGTTTTCGTCGGAAGGATTAAGGGGGGTTAAGCCCCATCGGGGGGCTGTTTAGCCAGAGTGGGCCTCGGATCAGGCGAGATTAAGCCTGATTTGGCGGGATTAAGCGGGATCAAGCCGGATTAAGCGGGATTAAGCGGGATTAAGCCGGATGCAGCGAGATTTCGGACCAGTGCTAAATCAGAATGTGACCTCCCAGGATTTGCATCCGAAGGAGCCAGAAGGCCACGGTCCGCAGGATGCCCTGGAGCATGGCCACCGTGCACGCCACCGAGGGGAAGGAGCACCAGCAGCAGCGCCATCGAGGAACCAAACAAAGCAGAAACGCTCGGAGGTCCGCCCGAATTTCTGTACCGGCGGCAGGAGGAGAAGGAGGATATTGATGAGGAGGTCGAGGAGGAGGAGGAGGAGGAGGAGGAGGAAGAGGAGGAGGAGGAGGAGGAGGAGGAAGGGGAAGTCTCTGTAGCCATTTTGGCTCACAGCCGTGTTCGGGACTCAACCCCCGAGCTCAAGGCCTTGGCAAGTCAGGGCGCCGCTGCCCGGGTCCCCAAAAAAGACCGCCTCTCAAGGGTGACCCATCGGGTTCCTCGTTCCCCGCTGACGCGGGCACACCTGCCGCTTAACCTACCCATCGGCCGTTCCGTTCAGCGGTCCTCACAGCTGCGCTCACCTGATGGCACGGGGCTGTCAGCACTGTAAAAGAAACGTACCGCAGCGAGTCTGGGTCTGCTTCTGTGGGCAACCATGGGCGCCCCTCAGCCGCGACCGCGGGGGGGACTGCCGAAGGGGCCAGGAGACGGGTGGACAGAGGGGTCAGGGCAGCGCATTCACGGACAGCCAAGTGCAGGCCCTGGTAAACAACACGCCAGTGATAGCGCCAGTGGGGGCGCAGAACCATTCCAAGTACACGGTTCGTCCCACGCCGCCATGCCAGGTGAAAGGATACAGTCTCGACGTGCGCAAGGGCATCAAGGTACTGGCGACTCGAAGTGGCGACCATGATGGTCGGCAGTGAAAGCGGCGAGACCTTAGAGGAGATCGCAGTCCTGAAGCAGAGCCTGGCAGCGCTGGAGCCCGTAGACACCACGATCCGGCGCACCATGGCGGAGCTAGGGGAGCTCGAGGCGAACATCCACAAGACCGAGCGGTTGACGGATCAGGACAAAAAAATAGAATCGGACAAAAAGAAGCGGACTGTGGCTTGCCACGCGCTGAGAAGGGCGCTCTGCGGGCGGGCTGCGCCGTTCCCCCCCCCCCCCCCGTGACCCCTTTCCTCCCCTACTGTTGGGGCGCTGTGTAAATACAGAGAACAATATCTTTTTCCACCAATATTGAATGCAAACACAAAATAAGATAGGATATGGATCTGTATTTCGGTACGCAGGCTAAAACGTGAGTAGGTGCGTCCACCCTCCCGCCAAGCTTATGACCACAACGGCCACGGGCGGAAGGGACATATATTTCATTATCGCCCTAAATCTCACATCCTCGCCCATCTGATTTTCACACAAGAAAAAGAAACGGTTGCTGAAGAATGCGTAGCACATTCTGAAGCAAACCTCCAGCATATGCATGAACATGCCTGTCGGCTCGAACGGCCAAACGCCACCCGCACACCGAACAACACCTATCAAGATATCAAATCAAAATTTTGAACAGCAGATATCGAAATACCTTATCAATTCTTGAGCAACAAACGCCAATCTAACATATCAGAGCTCGATACAAACATGATACAATCACTTGAGAGGGTGCACTCACCTTCTCGTCACCTGAGAGGGTGCACGCACATCTCCTCTGCCACCCAACGTAAGCGCAAAGCTGGTCGCAATATCGATGTAATCTCTTCCGCCACCCAACATCAACACACAGTTGGTAGTGAAATCTTATCGTAACTGAGCTGACTTGATGATGCTGTAGGCGATGTACGTCTTGATACTCGGATCAAGGCTGTAGCTCCTGCTCTCGTCTGCGTCTAGCTTCAGACACAGGCCAAAGCAATTGGCGTAGTGCTTGTCCTTGCTATAAATGTCCCAGAGGATGCTGCCCTCGCATTTGCCACTCTTGCCGCGCACCGGTCCCAGCGTAGCCAACCACTGCCTCAGAAGTGCACTGCCCCCCAGGTAGATTTGTCCATCCACCGCAACCTCACTGAAGTGCGTCTCCACCTCAGGCTCAGCCTTCAAGCGTCGCGCGACTGTCTTTCGCTTGGCCTGCTTGGGCACCTCCGGCCTGAAAGGTTGTCGCTGCTCGAACTGAACCTCCATCGGTGCCGTGCCGGAATCCTCGTCGTCGCTCTGCTTGGGCTGCATGATGTAGATAAATACGATGACTCCCGCAATGATCGAAACCAATGTCACCGCCGCAGGAGACATCGAAAGACAAACTCCATGCACTAAGCGCGCATGGTTGAAGCAGAACCGCAACTTGGTCAGGTCTGGATGGTTCGCTGCGCACCACTCATATCCACTGGGTAGTTGTTCATCGCATCGTCCATGTCGAATGTCTCGACATACTCGGTCTCGTCATAGTTCCCGTTCTTGTCGTCGTAGAAGCACTCCTCTATATAGTTGTACGTCTCCGGCGGCCAGGTAGATATCTCATCGTTCCCATCGGCGTCGCCGTGCAGATCCTGCTTGACGTACTTACCCATCTTCGCGTTCAGGTCGTCGACCTCCTCGTTGTCTGCCACCTTCTCTGGTCCAACAAGTCTCCGCCCACACATTGATGGCGCTCTGCCATCAGGCCCAAGAGTCCACAAGTTAGATCTCGCAATATTCCTCGCGTAGACTCCTGGAAGCACTTTCGTCAAACAGCCGGCTAAATGTTGCTCGCTCTTGACCCACTGGATGCTGGCCTCATTTGGTGACTGACGTAGTATAGCCGCCTCCAGAGAAAGCCTCCTATCCGTCATAGATACCTTCTCCTTCGTGATCGCGTCATACAGGCTCTTGCAGTCGGTCACCGAAATGCATGTCACCGAGCAGGTGTCATGCGCGATCTCGGCCGCATCCATCTCTGGGTATAGGATCTCCGCCAGGGTGGACCTTGTCCAAATCAACATATCCACGGAATCTGCACTGGAGAATGCCTCCGCCGATAAAGTAGATCGCACCACTCGCTGGATCTTTGAAGACTGCCACCCCACGCAATGTGCCTTGTACTTGTTGCCGTGGTCCTCTATGATCTTCTCGTCGCCTAGCATGATGAAATGTCCTCGTTGCGATATGTGCCTCGGCTGGTTGTCGAAAGCACTGTCGGTCACGTTGATTGCCAAGGTCTCCCACAAGTTCAGGCCAGCTGCGAGCTTGATCAGTAGGTCGTCCCGCTTCCGGATTCTCCTGATAACTGCATTCCCGTCCTGTAGTTCCTTCACCGTCGGAGCTACCAGCGTCGATGCCGACCGGGATGCCTCGAAAGCTTCTTCGAAACCATTCGTAGTCTCGATGCTATGCAGGGGCCCGTGCACTGCCAGGTGCTTTGCTGCGCTCCCCGGAGACACGCACAGTCTGCATGGACTTCTCATGGGCCTCCATAGTGACGTTGATGCTGCCGTCCTTGCCTTGCCGATAGGCCGGGCCGCAGAACGTCGCCTCCTCCTGCCTCGCGCACTTGACTTCGCCAAGGTCAATATCCTTTTCAAGGTCCTTCATGATCTTGGCGCCCTCAGGGCCGTCCTGCTCGATGCCCATGAGGAAGCCGTCCACGTGTAGACACGCGATCCCCATGATCGCGTTCTCCTTGTTGCGCTCGATGAAGGTCGCGGGCTCGAAGCCCAGGCCTTCCCATCCAGGCCCCGCGAGCGTCTCGCGCAGCGCCGCGCATCAAGCTCTCGCCGCGTCGCTGGTCCAGTAGATGCCCTTGTCAAGCTTCAGCAGGGCGCCTACCTTGACACCTGGGGTGGTACACCCCCCAAGGTTTGTCGGGATCCGAAAGTAGAGCCCGCGCGCGATCGCCTTGCCTCGTGGAAAAGCCCACTTCACATCGGCAACGATTAGGACCAAGTTAAGGCTCGATACGATGCCGCGCAGAAGTAGCGTCATCTGTGCTGAGACTGCGGGGGAGTCTTGACGTAACTTGTCGTCGAACTCCTCCTCGTTGCCCCGTCCACATATTTCTCGCCTTCGGCTCCAAGGTCGCAGGGTCTTTGCCCGCGCAGACCACCTTGGAGCTCAGGATCTTGTCAGGGCCTATCTGCTCAACCGCTGCTGCTCATATGCGGGTTGCCGCATCGTACTTGCACCAGGTATTCCACTCCTTCTCCACTGCACACTGTATATTATTTCACTTAAGCTTGTCGTCGCCCAGCGTCTTCAGGTTGATCTCCTGATGCTTGTTAGCCCGTGTCGGCCGTGTGCGCGTCCACTCCACCGTGTGCGCTTGCTGCCCTGATGCTGCTCAGGCTGTCTAGTATCTAGTACTCGATGTTGTTGTGCCTTGTTGATTTGCTGATGCTGCTGTCTGCGCTGCTGCCAAAATTTATATGGCTTCTTGCGTTATTCCATATGCCTCTGGGTACTGGCAGGTACTTGAAGTTGAGCTCGGTCGTCGTGAGCATCATCATTCTTGGTCTGCTTGAGCTTCAGGTCCTTCTTGACCGAATGTTCATTATCACCGCGTTTCATCTCCTTCGGCTGCTCCGGCCCCCCCGTTGACCTCGCCAGCGTGGCTACCGCTTGGAGGTCCAGGCTGTTTCGGCGGTAGGTTGCCGGTCACCTCCCGGTCCATCTTCAGTTCCTTCCTCCTTCATCGATGTGATCTTCTCGATGACCGCGATCGGCTGCTGTGCCTCCACATCGTCGATGATCTGAGGGTCTGCTATCCAGTCCGCCCTCGAGATGTCTTGAACCAGGTCGCGCGTGTCCAAGTTGAACAATCGCCTCGTCTCGATGTGATACCCTGGTGCCGGTTCGGGTAGTAGAGGTGCATTCCTGATGTTGTCCAGCTGTGCCACTGCTCCCAGGATGGTATCCCAGACTTGGTGTGCTTGGCGTAGTCGCGCTCGTAAATCCTCCTCTGCTTGTTCCTGATCAGCTGGGACTGGTTCGTACTCATCGCCCAGCCTCTGCCGCGTCGGCATCGCGTCATTGTCGCGCACCACATCCGATCGTCTCTTTCTGCTGTCCGACTTCTTCGGATGAGCCACGCCCCCTTTAGCTAGTGTTGATCCTGGTGTGTCTTGTTGTCCCTGCGATGGCTGCTCTTGTGGAGCTTCGTGCTGTCCAGACAGCTGCCGATGCTAGTCTTGTTGTC